TATATATATATATATATATCCTATTAGTTCTGTCCTTCTAGAAAACTCTAATACAGGAACCACTGAGGAAACAGAAAGAGATCCTGAAGAATCCTTCCTCAGAATAGGAAGTGAATCAAAGGGCTTAACTGACAACACCCCTGTGATTCCCAAACAGGAAAAGATTAACTGTATTTTCTAACCTAGAGGGTAAGTTAATGCCTTTAACACTCACCCTGAGACTGACTCCTACACAGAGGCAGAGGGTGAAAAATAGAGGTCAACAATGAATGGACATCAAGGACACTTGGGCGACAGGGGCTCTTCTACACTAAGGAGTGAAAGACAGGTCAGGGCTGGCTGCCCTTCCCTGCCTGGAACAGTGAGATGCATCCAAGGCTAGTAGCAGTATCTCTGATTTTACAGATGAGGAAATTACCATCCAGTGGGTAGACTTCACAAAGTCACACAACGGGGCTAGACACAGTTAAACTGATTCCAATCCAGGTCTTACTGTAAGATCACAACTTACCCAATTTGTCATATTGCCTCATAGAAACACCTTATGAACTTAACCACTGAATGTCTCTGGTGACTGAAGACATCTCTTGAGTTATTACAAGTACCACTGTCAAATGTCTGTTTACCATACATGATAAGTCCACCCAAAGTCTATTCATATCCACTATTTACTCCATACTGTGATGCTAATTTAAAACAAGGGAGTCCTTTTGTTTTTCCCAGAAAGCCTGAGTATAACCCAATAGGAGTATTTTAATTTCTGTGCAGGACATCCCCGCCCCCACCCCTGCCCCAGGGATATCTAAAACATTTTCTTAAATGTTCTATTACAGTGAGATGAAATTGTATTACATATTTACTTTGGTGATTCATTCTATGATTGTAATTCTAGCTTCAATTAGAAAGAGAAATCAGACCTTAATTGAAGAAAGGAGCATATAGTTATTAAGCAGAGGTGGCAATCGAAGACATAGACTTTGAAACATTTTCTTTTAAAGCATGATGAAAGCAGGCAGTTCATCTTTATTCTATTATTCATGAAAACCTCGTAGTGATATTGGTTCTCACTAGACCTATGTTTAACTTCTCTTTATCTGATTTATTCATTTGCCTGACAACTTGCCCACGCCCAGGCTCTCCATGCTGACATCAATCAAGTGACTCCACAAGCAAACTAATTTCAAATTCAATTCGGCCTGTTTCAGTGTGCTTACATGTCACTTACACCTCTTCATGACTAATACAAGTGATTTATGAGTTCTGCATAATCTTCTCTCAGTCTGGAAGTTTCCCCCACCCTACCTTTAACTATATTTCTGTAACACGGCATATGAGTCACTGAAGTTCTTTTACAAAAATGGGTTTTACACAGCAAATAATTAAACTTGAGAAGACATTGAATCTTCTCTGATGCTTTGATCTCCTTAATCAAACCCAAAGTATCACAAGCCCAGAGTTCCCATAAGTAGAAAGTACAGCACATTAAACAAATGAGAGGGAAAGAGACGATCACATAGACACTCCTATTTTAGAATTATTTTTGACTTTAACTGTTTTCTGTGGAAAATGTCAAGCATAATTGGTATTTAACTTTCAGAAGACCTGTAAATCAAGCAGGGATAGAAATCAGATCCAGTGAACTTCCTGTCTCATACCAGATAAAATTTAGATCAAACCTACTCAATTTCTAAATTACGTCTTTTTTGTTTTGTTTTTACTGTTAAAAATGTCACAGCAGTAGTAAAGGGATTTTTCAAGAAATGAAAGAAAACTCTCCAAACACAACTGATTTTGATTTTGCATAGTCCTGCCCTGTCTTTATTTATATTAATTATTCATTTAATTTTAAATTCTCAGTCTCTAAGAAATAAAACTCCAGAGCCAACTGCTGTTCCCAAAGGCAGAAGGTGTTTAGTGACAGCCATGGCCTCATGGGAGAGGACCATACCAGCCTTGCATTGCTGCCCATCCCACTTACCCTTTCTCATCTCCTGCAAGTCCCCAAATTCCTATTTTTTTTTCATTTAGTAGTGATCCAAAACTAAAATCCTTATTTTCTCCTTTTGCATAACAAGAACAATGAAAATTTCTTGAGGGCAGAGGCAAAATCTATTTATCCCAGTGCTTAATCCAGTTCCTGTATATAGCATATTCAATAACTAAATAGAAACAATAAGAAAAAAAGCAATTTGTGTCTTTCTGTTGGTTTCAAATCCAGCTCATCTTTTTAATAACCTCTCATTCTCCTGAAATCACAGATTTGTGATAAAGAAGAACAAATCACTGTTGCCACATTTAACACTTGTACATTTTATTTAATTAAATCAGCCATTGTACACATTGCAGCTATGTATTGTTAGTGTTGTATTTTTTTTCCATTAACTAATACATGCCCTCATAGATATATTCAATTAGTGTTATCACCATGGGAACAAGATGCTGATTCGTCAACTGAAAATTCACTTCTTCTCACAGTATTCAAGTTTTTGATAACACAGCAAAAATCAAAATCAAAAAAGGTGAATAACCATTATGTTGTTACACAGACATCATCTGCACTGCAAATAACACAACAGAAATGCTTTTCTTGAGCTCCAGTGAAGGTTTTGACAAGAAGGCCATAGGGTGTCTCAAAAAGTTTCACCATCGGCCTCTCTTATTTTGGCTGCCAAAGAATGTTTAATTTCCTATCCAACTGCCAGAAAGTGCTAGCATTTGAGGCTTAAGAGAGAGATTTGGCTTGTGGGAAACCTCCCTCCCAGGAAATTTTTTCTCTTGGCAACATTACTTTAAATGATGAAGTGCCATTGTTTGTCGCATTTGTTTTTGACATTCAGAGCAATGAGTCATTTTTGCACAACAGGAAAAGACCAGATAATTGGAAAATGTTCAATCCCTGGAGGATAGACTCTGTCCTTTTTTATTTAAATTTCATCTTCATTGAATATACTTTTCTTTAACAAATGACTGATTCAAAATGTATACTGTTTATATGAATATATTTGTGAATATATATATGTTAAAATGCTACACAACTTCAACCACTAGAGGAATAAGGAAGAGGACATGGAAATTACTCAGACTGTTATAGTCCCTTATTTGAGACAAACAAACAGAAGTGCACAAATGCACTTAAGAGTTTCCAAGGGAGTGTGGATTTCAAATAAATAAACCAAAAATTTTAACCAAAACCAATTTTTCAAGGATTTCTCAATCTCTTCTGCAAGCTGAAAAACAGACCTAGCTGGAAAGTGAAAAGTGCTCACTCAGGGTAAAAAGAATGGAAACCATTAACGTGATTAGAAGAGGGGATAGACCGTGGTTTTGATTTTTAAATGCCACATGCAGGTATTAGAGAAGATATCAACCTGAAAAAAAGAAAAAGAAAAAGACACCACTCCAACATACTGAAGGAGTTTAACCTTTTATGTAGTGGGTAAATCTTGTTTCCAATGAATTATCTACAGTGCAGTGGCCAGAAGTAAGTACCACCAGTAAGACAGCGTGGTTTGCTAAAGCAGCAATGAAAACTGGAAAACTACAGTAGTTATAGCTTTTAAAATACCCTGCCAACTTTTCCAAAATCTAAAGACCTGAAGATGCTAGAATGCCACACAATGTGGCTGCTAGCAACTGAATACCCCATCGTTTCATTCTGTGTGCCCTCTGCTCCCTTCTCCCCTGCCTCAGAGTGGCTTTTAGAGAGTCCTAAGTCATGGCTAGCCAGCACCAGCAGTAACTTCTCAGGACAGTTCTTCAAGGCTATTAACCCACCTTTGGCTGGGAGCAGCGGCTACTCTGGAAGTTCTAAGGACATGATTAGGTCTGAAGTGCTTCTTTTGCAGTAAAACTGTATTATCACTCGATTGTGTTAGCAATATCTTAATTAACCATTGTTCAGCAATTTCTAGAGGCCTTTTATTCTGATGCCCAGTGTAGTTATAATAGGCAGTGGTTTTAATTTTAATGTGTTGTTCATCTGAGCATTTCAGCTATATACATTGTACATAGATATCCCTTGGAAGGATTCTTACATAATGTCACTTGAAGAGGTCTGCAGGTGAAGTTCTTCTGATCAATGGATTTTCATGGATCTTGTGCAGAAGCAAAGAACAATGGAGGTGGCCAGTTCCCAGGTTAGCACAGACACAACGAAGTAGTGGATACAGCATCCAGTATGAAGGATGCCATCTTTGGTCACAAATTAGCTTTATAGTTAAAGAGGATGGGGGAAAACTAAAACAAAATGCCATATATTTGCTAACAGTGGAAATGTCGGGGTATCCCATTAATTAGGCCAGTTAGGTCACTCCTCTACTGAAACAGGAAGCTGCATATTGAGTGAATGTGTGGTTTCTGGTGTGAGAACTGGGCAGCCCCTCATTTGGCCTCTTGCTTCAAGTCCTCCTTGCAGAAATGCCGAAGGAGCTGCTGGAGATCGCGCTGGAGGTCGTCCTGGTCTAGTGCTTCTGGTACATCCTCCAGGTGCTCCAAGTCAATGCGTTTTCCATGCTGGTCCTTCACCACAGCCCTCTTCTGTGTACTGGCTTTACTCATGGTTGTCCTGGAGAAAAGCAGATAAAGAGAATTATGCTCTTTTCACTGTTAGAGGGCAGCTGTTAGGTATGAAGGTGGCCATTGCACTGAGTACTTATTGTCTTACCTTTAGATGTTTTCACACCAAAGTATTAGCATAACAAACTATGGACATATTTTTATGTCTTTCTTTTAAACATGACTCCCCTCCCTAAAATGATTCATGAGATTTTTTAAAGTGTGTTTTGGACCAAGGAGTATTTTTTAAATCTTTAAGAAAAATTCCAAATAAATGAAATCATGCTTTAATTTGATCTTCTCAAAAACTAACCATAAAATCATTCACGTTTTGATCATGTATCCCTGACTTAATAGAGTTTGGTTCATTCTGAAATAGTACCACAAGTACCCATTGAGAGGCTAAAAAAAATAGTTTTTAATTTATTTGAAACACTTTAGCTGCCAGCTTAAACCTTACAGTCACGCCCTGATCCGATCCTCCCAAAATTATATTTTCAGAGAGGTTTTTATGAGACATAGGTCTTTATAAACTAAAATATTAGTCTATCAATATATAAGAAGGTGGCTGCTAGCAAAAGATGAAGGTCTGCCCAGGTGTCTAACTTTACCATCTGGAGATGGTGGGGGAAGAAGGGAAAAAGAGAAAAGCCATTGAGAGACAATGTTTCCTCTGTATTCTCAGAGCCTCACAGATATTGCTCATTTTGTGTATTTCTTGCCATTTAACAGTCTGTTGCTTACTCGCTTCCCTTACAAGACTGGTGGTCACTTGAGAAAAGGAACTATATCCCCTTTTTTTTTGAGACAGAGTCCCGCTTTGTTGGTCAGGCTGGAGTGCAGTGGTGCAATCCCAGCTCATCGCAACCTCTACCTCCTGGGTTCAAGCAATTCTCTGGCCTCAGCCTCCTGAGTAGCTGGGATTATAGGCATGTGCCATCATGCCCAGATAATTTTTTGTATTTTTAGTAGAGACAGGGTTTTGTCATGTTGACCAGGCTGGTCTCAAACGCCTAAGCTCAGGTGATCTGTCCCCCTTGGCCTCCCAAAGTGTTGGGATTACAGGTGTGAGTAACCGCATTCAGCCAGAGATAAAACTTTTGTATAGTCGTACTAATTTTAAGTCATACTAATATTTTCCTGTAACGGTACTTAAAAATAATTATAATTTGCTCATTCTCAGTTCTTTTCACTATATACTTCATTTTTGTTTTGTTTGTTTGTTTGTTGTTTTTAGAGTAAAGTAAAAGCAAGCTTACTAGGAAAGTGAATGAATAAAGAATGGCTACTCCATAAGCAGAGCAGCCCTTTTCACTATATACTTCTAAATGCAGATCTTCATTGCACAAATATTTGATGAATCTGTTTTATGTGCCAGACACTATTATTATAAGAAGTAAAGAAATTGAGCCTTAGAGAATATAAGCAATAGTCCAAATAAAAAATAACAGTTAGCATGCAGTGGGGCCAAGAGCCAAAGATTCCTTGAGCCTGAGTCCATAATCATTTATCACGTATCTTCACTTAAAACATCCGCAGGAAATGATCGGTTTTTGGAGCTTTACCCAGCATTTTCCTTATAGGTTCCCAGTGCTCAGAAGCTGGAAGTTCTGTCATCTTCCAATACCTCTGTGATTTTGTGACAATCATCTTAACTTTTAAAAAAGAACTTACTTCAGCCAAAATATTTTCAGTTTCTTTTGGACATCATTGTTTCCTTCTTCCCTCCGGTTCTCCTACTCTCCCTTTTTCTTTAATGCTATATGAATTGTTCTGCATCTGGAAGCAAACTCAAATTTGTTCTTGCTGATGAAAAGGTCAAATCTGATTCCAATGATTGAAATTAGGTTTTGTTTTTCTAAATATTTAGCAACCATTTTTTTTTCTTCAAAAAGGCACATTTCTGACTATTTCTGCAAAGAGCTAGTAGAAGCCTTTATAGCACTGATGCCAGGGCTTAAGCCTCCATTATAGGACATTTCATGATATTTTGTGCAGGTAAATGTAAGCCAATGTGCTTCTGAATATGCACATGTATGTGATGTCTTCAACAATGTATAATATAAAGCATCGTACATCACAAATAGAGTTCCGCAACTAACTAGCGTACGTAACTTACTAGCTGTGGAACTGTATGGAATTGTCTATATTTCTGGTTTCAAATTCACCAGCTGTAATTGAGAACTTTGAATTAATTGGTCTCTCAATCTATTCCAGTTTGAAGAGCCCATGATGGTGGGACATGCGTGAATTACGTGGTTTCATCTGAATAATTGAATAAAAGACTTAAAAGTTGAGAGTATAAAAGGCATTTTACCCTTAATTCATGTCGCATTTTTATAGTTCTGAGACAGCAATTACACTCTTTTAAATTCCTAGCTGCTGCGGTTTTCCCATTTGATTGGAGGGTGGAATTGCGACAGAACCTTTAATTTTGCTGCTCTAATTATTATGTTCTAAAGGCTTAAAATAGTTTTGTAGCATACTCTGAATGACAATCTCTCCTTTTCAATGAAGTGAAAAGCACAATGGTAACTTGGATTTCCATTGTGTCTTTTCACTGAGAAGCTGAGCACATTTTATTAATCTTAATACTTACAGTGCTGTTAGAGAATAGATCTATGAAACAGTACCCAAGTTTATACATCAAATCCATGACAGAGACAGAGGCAGACCAGCGTGCCTCACAGTCAGCCCCCTTGTATAAGCATAAAAATGAGCTCCTTACTGCTTTCATGACACTTGCTTAATTCATTAAAGCCCAGGTTTCAGCATGGCTAGGTACATTTGTTTCATGGGTATCAAACTCATGCGTATGTTATTTGCCACTCACATGCAGAATCATAAAACAGCTGTTAAAAGAAAGCACATATCATTCAAAGTAATGATTTACTAAGATCGAGCTAAATATAGCTGGTCACAAAATTAATTTGTGTTCCACTGATTAGATTATCCTTCCTATGCTCTCTGAATCTATATCCAAAGTCTGGCTTTAACTAAGTTGATGACTTGCTAAAACCCAGTGAGTCAGACTGTGTAAGCTCGAGTCTGATTCTTGCTGTGACTTAGTGTTATGTTTAAAGTATCAAGAGGATACTTCAGGGATAATACACTGATGGGTCCATTACTTGACCAAAGCCTTATAATGCAGGAGAGTAGCCAGCTTTAGGGCATATGTAGGAATTCTCCCCTTCTTTTCTAAAAGCTGGTAAAATTTTTTATGGTGTTAGTTGGCAAAGCATCACCCCATGCTAACCCAAACCTTTTAATTATTGATCCATCCTCTTTCAGGATCTCATTCTCTACTAAACTGGGTAAGTGGACTTTCATGTGGCTACCTGTGTAACTCAAAGCCTGAAGTAAGAAGAAAAGAAAAGAAAAAGCTTGTCATAAACCACAGACTTTCAAACCATCTATTGCTTTGCTTTACTCATCATCAGTATGAAAAGATACTTGAAAGGATAAATAAATACAATTCCTAGAAGCAGATCTAAGTTTGGAGTTCTATTTAACAAGTCCTTTCAGTTTCTCTCATTTGTGAGGGAAATTTCTTATTTTACTTTACAAAAGCTGCTAACTAATATCCATATGGATTGACTTTCAATTTCTTCCTTGCTTCACCCTACTCCTTTCACAGTGAAGATTTTAATGATAAATATAATGACCAGAGGCAAAAACAAGCAAACAAGAGCCAACAGTATAACTCAGATAATTCATCTTTTGATCATTCAAGATTGCTAGTTGTCAAAATATGAAAACTGAAAGTATTTAAAAAGGTTTGCTTTTAATACTCCAGTGAATTAATATATAATTTCAATATATATTACGGGTATAGTAGAAGACACACATATAGCATTTAGTGTGAAAATGTTCCAATAGCAAAAATACTTTGTAGATATTTGCACATACCCAGGATCCCTTAGTCAAAACTCTGGGGCCAGACATGTTTCAACAATTTAGATTTTTTTTTTTGTCCCTTTTAGATTTTAGCAAGGTAATATAATGCATATACAGTCACATGCCACATAATGACATTTTGATTAAGAATGGACTGCATATACGACATGGTTCCATAAGATTATAATGGGGCTAAAAAAATTCCTATTACCTAATGACGCTATAGCTGTTCTAACTTCATGGTGCAATGTATTACTCAGATGTGTGTGGTGACACTGGTGTAGATAAACCTACTAACCTGCTAATCATATAAAAGCATAATGCATACAATTATGTAGGGTACATAATACTCGATAAATTTAACAAATGACCATGTTACTGGTTTATGTACGGTAAATAAATTTACTATGTATAGTAAATACATAAATCAGTTAACAGTCACTTATCATTATCAAGTACTATAAAAGTGATACTTCATCACTATTTTAGAATGTACTTCTTTTATTTATTAAAAGACAGTTAATTATCAAGGAGCCTCAGACAGTCCTTCAGGAGGTATTGCAGAAGAAGATATTGTTTTCTTAGGAGATGACAGCTCTGTGCATTATTGCTCATGATGACCTTCCAGTGGCACAGTATGCAGAGGAGGAAGACAGTGAGATTGAGAATTCTCATCTTGTGAAGGCCTAGGCTAATGTATATGTTTAGGTCTTTTGTTTTTAGCAAAAAAAGTCTTAAAACATAAAAACAAATCATAAATTAAAACAATTAAAAACAGAAAAAAGTTTATATAACGATATAAAGAAAAACTATTTATTCATGCACCTTCACAACATGTTTGCATTTTAACCTGTGTTGTTACAAAAGAGTCAAAAGTTAAAACAAATGTGGAAGCTTGTAAAGTCAGAGTTACAGTAAGCTAAAGTTAATTTATTATTACAGAAAGAAGATTTTTTAAAATTAAAGGAAATTAAAAAAAAAAATTCAGCATAGCCTAAGTGTACAGTGTTGATAAAGTCCACAGTGGCACGCAGTAATGTCCTAGGCCTTCACCTTCACTCACCACTCACTCACCGACTCATCCAGAGCAACTTCCAGTCCTGCAAGCTCCGTCCATGGTAAGTATACTATTCCCGGAGAACATTTTTAATCTTTTATTTTGTATGTTTACTGTATCTGTTCTATTTTTAGATGGGGAAATACTTACCATTGTGTTATAATTGCCTACAGTATTCAGCACAGTAACATGCTGTGCAGGTTTATAGCCTAGGAGCAATAGGCTATCCCGTACACCCTAGGTGTGTAGTAGGTGAGACCATCTAGGTTTGTGTAACGACGCTCTGCGATGTTCACACAATGACAAAGTTGCCTAACGATGCATTTCCTAGCACATATCCTTGTCATTCAAACCCACACATGCCTAGTGAAAGCTGGGCATGTGAGAGTTATTTACATCCTACTGCTCAAGGTCATCACCAATGTCTGATTTTCCACTCATGCAAAACTTTAAAAAATTGCAACCTCTGTCATAAATGGATTAAGTGATGCATGACAGTACTGTATAATACTGACACCCCAGAGGAGGTAAAGATGGCATCCTGTAACCAAACCCACTTTTATATCATTGAAACATTCATCCTAAGTGGAATAAAAAAACTTTGTGCCATAATAGCTCCATGCCAATTTATTTCAAGTTTCATTTCCAAATTAACATACAAAATTTGTTTTGGCTTTCAGAATTTTGGGATTTTGGTAACAGTTTGTGGATCTGTTACTGTGGACCCATTTTCTTAACTGTTGGAAACCGGAACTTAAATAGTTGTAAATGCTTTTAAAAATTATGGACATGGGATATGTCTGAATTTTCTTTAATATCAATCACAGATGATATTTGAAAAGACTGGCTAAAAGTACAATTTGCAATGTCTTTATTTCTTTCCCTTATTAATTGGCAGTGCAAGACATTTCTACAACTTTTAAACAAGATCTATAATCATACCACAGCTCCCAAGATTCTGAGTCTGATTCAGCAGAAGCAAATCCTGGATTTTTAAAAGCTGTTAAGGTGACACCAAGGAACACCACAGTTTGAGGAAATGTTACTCTGCAAGTTATTGAAACAGGAGTTCTACCCTCTTGAATTATTCCACACCTTTCCGTGAATTCATGTATGGAATAACACAGTGACAAATGATTTTCTTTTCAAATGCAAAGCTACATAAAACACATACACATAAAAAGACAAAATGATGATGCTTCTATACCTCATCAAAGTCATCTTTGGCTGAAGGAAGATCAGTGGCTAAACTAGAATCCCCCAGATGTTTCTCCATCCTCTCTCCACGTACCACAGTTGTTTTAACAACTTTGCTGACTCTACGGCCTTCCACTGGCTCAGCCTGAAATTGTGAGGTACTGGACAAAATGCTGGGCTCACACAAAGTGACCTAATGAATGAAGGACACACAATAGACAATGTCTGACTGCCAAACATAATTATGATGAATTTTTACTATGTTAAAAAACAAAGGACAAAAATATAACGTTTCCAGAAAACAGCAATGGGAAGCAGAGTTAGAAAAAAACACACTATAATCTATTGGTAATATCTACATCATGAGTGTTTCTTCACAATACCAAAGCAACCTTAACTAGTCATTGGAACAAAGAGTTATCAGTTTTGTGAATAAGAAACTGACTGCTCAGTGTAATACAGACATAATAATATGTGAAGAAACTCTCTTTTCTCATGTTTAAATAATTTCTTTTGGTATTACGAAAATAAAATTACCCCTCAAAGGAGGAAATCTAAAAGCTATGAGAAACTGAAAAATAGATTTCTAGAGAATTCTCATATGCATAATATAAAATTTTGAGGATGCGAAGGAATGGAAAATAGTGAGAGTTTCACAAACTATTTGTCAAAAGAAGTAAATACAACCCTGAAAGAGGGAAGTAAAACATAAATAAATAAAAGTATAACTCTGCAGATGCAATGGCTCATGCCTGTAACTCCAGCACTTTGGGAGACCAAGGCAGGTGGATCATTTGAGATCAGGAGTTTGAGACCAGCTTGGCCATCATGGTGAAATGCTATCTCTACTAAAAATACAAAAAATAGCTGGGCATGGTGGTGGGTGCCTATAATCCCAGCTATTGGGAGGCTAAGGCAGGAGAATTACTTGAACTTGGGAGGTGGAGGTTGCAGTGAACTGGGATTGCGCCACTGCACTTCTGCCTGGGTGGCAGTGAGACTCCATTTCAAAAAAAAAAAGATAAAGAATTTCTAGATCCTTAGTTTAGTAACTCTGCAATGCAGAAATCTGAATCTCAAACATTTATCTGGAGTGACTTTCAGATGGCTCGTGTGCCAACTCAACACAAGCACCACAGTGCATTTTTATATGGTCTCTCCACAGCATACTGATTGCCCAGCAAATAGAATTATAATCCTTCAAAATCTGACTTTTGGATGTCTGCCATGGTCAATCATGAATTAAATAAAGAGTAGAGATTTTTAAAAAGGACAAACAAAAACAACAAGTATAATGTCTAGAAGTCTCCCAGATGGCTGTCTTTAAATCACAGAATCATGAAAAAAAAAAAAGTGAATGTTCAACTAAAAGCAAACTACCTATAAAAGGGAGAAGTGAGGCTGATATGAATAAACAATCTCATTCATCTTTTTTGAGCTCTATTTTGGTCCTCTCCATTGAATGGGTTTTAGAGAATCAGGTTGTCTCACCTCTGACTGCTCGGTGTCACTCTTCAATACAACACGCTTTATAACTTTGGAATAGCCATCCCCTTCCTCGATGCTGACAGGTTCCTGTGGCATTCCCTGCACCGTAATCTCTTCCTTCTCTGTGCCTTCAGAGGATACATACCGCCTAATGATTTTCCTAGTAACCTGAAATGTATTTCATTTGTGTATCTTATTTTTATGTGGCTGTCTCATGGAATTGATACATTTTAAACAGGAAGTTTGTAATTAACCCTGTTAGGATATTCTAGACAATACCTTCTTTACCACGGTGTGTCCGTGTTCATCAATGTATTCTTCTTCTGTGACTGTTTCTGGGGGTATTTCAGGCATATCGTCTCCCTAAACAGTTGGGAGAAAAGGGTCACTGTGCTGTTTGGCACCAATTCTGAGGAACTACTCCCAAGCGCTTATAACACGAGGAATGTTAGAAAATCAAAGGCGATGTTGAGAAGCATTGCTGAGATACAAAATCCTGGCAACCAGTTTGTTTAAAAGAAAAATGCAGGTGGGTAAAAACATGCTTAGGAGAATCTGACCAAAGTTAGACAAAACTTCAACAAAAATAGGTAAGCGAGTGGTGAGGTGGATGGAAGTGAAGAAGCCAAATCTTGCTCTTGTTTGGTGGCTCTCTTGGAGGAAGGCTGCAAATATCATGACCATTGCATTTCTTCACAAACAGAGCTGAGGAGAGTTAAGGGATCTGCTTTTGAATGGCCATGCACTACCTAGGGAACATGCCAAGCCTTCATAGATCCAGGCTGATCACTCTCTAAGGGTATGGGGACAGAACGGTCCCTGACGTGCGGTAATTTAACAGCGGGTACCTGAATAATCACTCGCCGGCGGACAACCCTGGTAGTTACCATCGCCTCCTCATCTGAGCTGGCCTCCAGCTCCCCTAATTCCTCTGTTAGCTCCTGGTGGAAGCATGGAAGCATTGTTTTGTTTAACATGCTAAGGAATGACTTCACTACCAGTTTCTTCTTTCGCTTACATTGTATTATGAAACTTTTACTCATGGAGGCTTTGGTGGACAAGTTGGTAGAGGTGAAAACAAGTGTGTGCTGGTCTCAGATTTCAACAAAAATACAGTGTTTTGGTTTCTTTTGCTGTTTTCTTTTTTTTTTTTTTTTTTTTTNTCCAATAAATAAAAAAAAAAAAATTCTGGAATTCTGAGAACTGTTGGAGAACCCACCTGTCAAAATCTCTCCAAAAAACAAGCAGCTTGCTCACATGACTTCTTTTACTTAAACTCCTATTTTAAAAAGCCTGACTGTTAACATAGACCCTCAGCAGCTGAGTAAACACGTATGAGCCACTGACACTTGTGCTTAGGCTTGGACTTATTAACCCAAAGGTACAGGAATATCCCCTGTTTCTGGAAGAACTTCTTGCAGGAAGTCAACATTTCCTGTAGCTATTATCTAACCAATAGTACATCTCCCTGGCATGAAAAAAAGACAGACTATGAATAATATTAGACTAATTTTGCAGAGAAGTTGAAATAAAGTGGTCAATAGTATTTTAGGGCTCTGGCCAAAAGCCAGAGATAAAGCAAAGAACATAATTTCAGCTTAGCACACATTATTTTAGGAGTCATATATCAAATTACAGTTTCCTAATGAAATTTTGTTTTTAAAAAAGAGAAAGTTCAAGTAGGTTTACTTAATCTATTGTAAAACTCAACTTATATGTTTATATTTATCTCTGCTAAAGGAAGACATGTAAATTTCAAAGCAAATTATACTTTAAATATAATCAGGAATCTGCTGCCTAGGAATATGGTTGGCAAGAAAAGTGATTAAAATTGAATGACCAAGTTAGGGTTATGAGAAATAAGGGTCAACATGGGAAACTTAAGAGAAATGCCTGGATGCTCATCAAGAGTAAGTTGAACAGGCCTGTATAAATGATGTGAAATTCAGAGTGACTTATAAAAATGTATTGATTTTGTACAGATTAAACATATGTATTATCCAGATCACTGTTTCAAGTCTAACTTCACTAAGCCTGCGGACCCTTAAGCTAAATTTGGTAGCTTTTAGCCCAGATAACATGTATGAAACGTTTTTACTAGTATTCATTTAAGCCAAGAATTTGAGATATGAGTAATTCTGTGCAAAAGCAAACTTGGAATAGAAATTCATTCATGGGATGAATTTATTATTTAAGAAAACTGCCGAAATCAGGACACAGTTGTCATCTGCCTGGATCTTTCCTAATTTTAGTTATGATTTCAGATAATTCCCAGCAGCAGGTCTCATTCTTACAGTGAGCAAAAACAAATGTTTCTTAAGCCCAAAGATAAGCTGTTTCACTTTATTTTCCTCCCAAAATTTCAATCATTTATTTTAACTCTTCTTTTACTACTAAGCTTTATATTAATGCTCTAAAAACACTTTAAAATACAAAACATTTTTTAATTCTATTACTTTTTAAAAGGAAAAACAATATATAATTTAATTTATATTAAATTAAGTTTAGTTCAAACAGATTCTCATACTTCTTTGTGTCTGAGAATCCTCTGAGGAGTTACTGAAAAGGCAAATTCTCACTCACTCTCCACACCCTGGGGGATTCATTCTAATTCAGGGTTTCTGAGGAGGGATCCAGCTTTCCAATCAATTCTGAGGTATGTAAACCATATAGACCACATTTTGAGAATAAATGGTTAATTTCTTCATATCATCCCCACTCCTCTTCACAATTTTAAAACTTACATAATGAGAAAGGAAGTGCTGTGATGCACTCTCATGCCGCTCACAGGCATTTGCACATTTAGAAACAGCAATAAGTTTAGGCACAATGTTCTTTTTCTCAGTCATTCCTAAAATAAATCTTAAAAAAATCTGACTTGGAAATCATCTTGCCTCTAATGAGAAAAATTTATATTGGCAACTAAACCCCACCCGATATCCACAGCTTGTGTGCCCATCACCTGACAGCCCAGAGATCCTGCAAGCCGGCTGGTCCCAGCACATCACATGGCAGACTTACACTGTGAATCTCTGCCACCAGCTTTCATGCCTAAGATTACTAATTTTGAAAAGCTCCTCCGGATATGTTGTGTCACCACCGTGTTTACTTTGCTTAGCAAAAGAGTTTCCCATGTGATAAGATCAGGGCTTATGGTCAAATCGCTAGCACTGAAACTGCACCATTTCTTCTAGATTCCTGGGCTCTCAGATTTTAAAAGGGGTTGAGGGTTTCCATGTGCCAAGTTAATTAATTTGGTTAACTTTTTTGGTTTGAAGTGAAAAAAATAAAACACCAGAAAAATGGAAACTGGAGGAAGATTTGTAGCTTTGTTACAGGTGGGTGAGAAAGTGGAGAAGAACGTTTTACCTTTTCAAAAGCTGCATCTTCATCGACTCTTTCACAGGTCTCTAGCTGGTTATCGGCAGACTCCACTATTACGAGGCTGGTTTTCCTTGGAGAACTCTCCTCTCTGTGCTCTGAGGGCTCGTCAGGTTCTTGTATGATGGGAGAGCCTCCCCGCTCACTGGATGTTGGGGTCTGGAGATACAGCCTCTCCTCCTCAGGAGGGGTGCTAACTTCCTCAGGTGTCTTGCTGGGAGAGCCGGGTACTGCCGTAGGCTTCTGAGTCTCTGACGCTTCTGTTCCTGGACTTGTCACACTGGAATGAAAAAGCCAAATGATACTTCAGGCGCATTTGCATGTCACCTCCTGTTCAAGCAAGGAAATCACAAGGCAAGATGGAACTGGTTTTTCCGTAGTCTATGACAGTCAAAACAGTCTGACAGTCAAAATTGTGTTTGTACATTTTGCCAAGAAAGGACATTTGAAGAAAAATAATATGACAAAATATAGTCATAGTTCATTGATCTAGTATTGGTAGAGAGTGATGTATTATTCTAAAGATAAAAATTATCCTAAAATGTATTACAGTTACCCAGCCTCTACAATGTAGATAAGTTACAGTTTCGTCTTTTCTAACTCAAGTTGATATTGGGGATGCGGGGAGTTTTATGTAAAGATTTGTAGATAATAAGGCTTCTGAAGCAAGAATCAAAATTTGGCAGAATTAAATAAATCTCCATGTTAATATAGTTTTCATAACTATAAATTCTTACAGTACCTCTGAAAAACTGTTTTACATAATAATAGTTTGACATGGAAACTTTTTTCATTGATATAGTCTAGAGTTACTCCAACGTAACCTTATATAATCTCAACTACTAAATAAGAAGATTATTTGCCTCTTCGGTGCCTTCTTTTGGGATTTAATGCAATTTTTTGTCACTCCATAGATATTAAATGCCTAAAATATCTCTGTTATCGTCTCCTCTTCTTGCCATCTTTTCCTTGGTCCTTCTCCTTCTTTCTTATATTTTCTTTATGCTCACCCTTAAAACCTACAGGATGATGGGGCAAGGGTGGCTCAGTGGAAGAAGAGATAATTTCATTATGCATTTCATTCTCCTCTCATGTCAGTGACCACAAAACTCACCAAATGAAAGGGAATGCTTTGATACAATCTCATGACACCCTATTCTCAGACTTCAGGGTGAGGGATATGTTGGCCTTCCTCATGATTTGTTTTCTTTTTCTGGACCATCAGTGTCAATTAAACAACTCTTTCTCTTTGGCTTCCATAAAGGCCGGAACTTAAATCTGAGGAGAATTAGGCTCTGTAGTTTCCTTTAGCCAGAAGCTCTTCAGAAGACTTCTCTTTATTCCCACCCCAATTGTATTCCACTTCATTTTAATGGTCTTTTATTCTATGTGGCTAGTTTGCATTTCATTCACACTTTTATGGTTAGTCCCCTCATAGCTTGGTTGAAATGCACCATTGGCTGTGGTATCTCCATCATCGCTGCTCATACTCCCAACCAGCAATGGCACCATGAGCTCCACAACTGAAGCACGACAGAGCAAATGAGGTGCAGCAATATTACAAGTCATGGCCATGTCATCTACAGGGAATTTTACAGTTTAGATGATGTTTTCATAGACACACTATACTTTTGATCCTGTGAGATGAGTCAGGTATATATTATTACTATACTTTATAGATGTGGAGATGAATATTTAAAGCACTTAAGGACTTGTTCAAAGTCACAGCTCTGAAAGTTGGTTCTTGTATGTCTGTGCCACATAACACTGTCACAATTATGTCTCTTACATGTTAATGCTTTTTTTCCCCTTTAGCTCTGGTACTTATGATGGATAGGGTCATTTCAGAATTATTTAAAAACCAGTTATGCTTATATATGCCTGGCACCCACATTAGCCTGTATCTATGAAATTACATTTGGCAGGCTTTCTTTGGAAACTCACAAATATTCCTGCTGATATTCCAGAGATGACTCTTCAGGCAGGTCTTGCATTTTCCCTGAGAAATCCTGTTGAACTTGCTCCTTGTGAGTTTCGGGAAAGAGTGCTGTGGCTGAGCTGTCCCCCTCAGTTTTGGGGATGCCGTCCTGAAACGTGGAATAACCAACAGAAATGTCTTCCTCTGAGACAATAGGAGGGTGATCACAGGTCTCGCTTTCTTTAGAAACAGCTTGCTCCTCTTTCTGCTTGTGCTGTGCAGTGCATAACTCCTCCTGAAGTACTGAGAACCCTAAAGGGAGAATGATTTAAGTATTTAGTTGAAGCTTACCTATACTGATTGGATATTTATTAAGTAACTGCTATGTGCTACATCCTGAGATAAGCCCACGGATTATAAAGATGAAGAAAACACCATGTCCACCATCAAGATGCTGATTGTGTAGAAGAGTCCAGACAAGTAAGAGTCAATTCCAATGCAGAGCAACTGGGCCACAGGTGCCAGTCAATGAGTGTGGGAGCACTGAACATGGGCTTGGGATTTGGAAAGGAAATGCAGAGTGTGTTACATGCTAAGGATACGTAATGGTAAGCAGGAATTGACTGAGATAGTCAAAGCATAGAATCTAAAGAGTAAGTAGAGTGACAGTCAACAATCATAATAAATAATGGCAAATAGGCACCATTCCAAGTACATTGCAAGTATTAACTCGATTAGTCCTCACTCTCACACTATGAGGATAGTACTCTTTTTATGTAGAGTCTCATGACAGGCTAAGGAATTTTATCACATCCAAGGAAATGAGGAGTCATTGAAAGATGTTTAGCAGAGGAGTGACTGGCATTCATCTATTTATTCATTTATTCAACAGATACATTTTGAGCATCAACTCTGTAGTATGTGCTGCTTAAATGTTGAACATATAGCAGTGAACAAGATAGAAAAAGCTTCTGTCCTCACTGAACTTGCATTTCTGCAGATATATATTTGTGATAAATATTGGGAGAAAAGTAAACCAGGATAAAGGTAGAGGATAAATGGTGCTAGTATTTTAAATAGACTTGTCAGGAAAGGCTCCGCTTAGGAGGTGATATTTGAGCAGTGACCTAAATAAAGTGAGAGAAAAAGATATATGTTGATCTGAGGAAAGAACATGCTAGGGTGGAGAAGGCAGAAAATACCAGGGCCCTGAAACAGGAGAATGCAGAGGGTTCTCCAGGAATGGCAAGGAGGCCAGGCATGAAGGAGCAGTGAGACAGGGAGAGTGGTGGGAGGTGGGGAAAAGCCATGAGGCTTTTGCTCAACACTCAGATACATCATCATTTACATCCGTGAGAAGTAAGCTGACACAGAACGAAAAGACTCAGGAGAAACACCCAGTAAAGTAGAAAAAAAAAGACGAAGAAGAAGCGAAGCGAGAATGTCATGAAAATTAAATAGAGAAAGTGTTTGAAGAAGAAAGGCTTCAGTATTCATGCCAAATGTTACTCAGAGGCAAAGTAACTTGAAGACCGAGGACTGCCTGCTAAATTTGACAATGAGGAAACAACAGGTGAATTTTAAAAGATTGACTAGAGTGAATTATAGAGGGAGTTCTAGAGGGAATGGGAAGAGAGGATGCAGAGACAGGAAATTCAGACTTTTCTTTTAAGAAGTTTCCTATAAAATGGATAGAGTAACAGCAATAATACTAGGGGGACATATAGGGTAAAAGGAGTTATTTGCTTTGTTTTGTTTTTAAAGATGGTATCTATTAAAGCATGGTTTAATGCTGTTGGGTATGGTCTAGTGGAAGGAAGCTAAAATGGATACTTGCAGGAATGGAGTCCCTGATTGGGTAAAAGGAGAGGAAATCTAGTACAAAACAAGAGATGATGGCTTTAGCAAAGTGAGGAAATTTTATCCATTTTAATAGGATGGAATTTAGAGTGAGTATATGCATTGAGAGACATTCATGTTGGTAGATTTGTGGTAGAAAAATATACACATTTGCTTCTGATTATTCCTATATTTTCTAATAAATATGAAGCGTGGTCATCAGCTGGGAATAAATAAAGAAAAGAGATAAGGTTGGAGGTTTGAAGGAAGAAGAGAACATGTAAAATAGAGATAAAAGAGAGAGAAAAAAATAGTGTTAGAGACCACAAATGAATAAGAATAGGTTAGGGAAACTTTGATACTGAAAAGGTGGTAGAGCCAATGGCTGGAGGTCCCCGCAGGTCTGAAGAACTGTTGGTGCAGAAATAAAAGAGGAAATGTACAGTCATTGGTAGTGATATCATCCTAGTTGTGCATCTAGAAAGGCATGGCTAAGGTAGAATAAAAAATATAAGTGTTAAGAAATGCCACCATGGAATTGAGGAAAGGGGATTCAATGGATCATTTTGTCATCTGTGAAATAACAAAGAACAAGCATGAAGCAGAGGTGGGAGGGTTCTATAAAACAGGGAGGAAAGCCTCAGGGTAGTAAGAAAAAGAACGTATGATCACCATAGGTCATGGTCTACCTTCTGAATAAAAAAGACAGTATGTCCAGTGCCTCAATTAACCACACACAGACACAACACACACACACACACACACACACACACACACACAGTTTGACCTTCACTATGATCCAGAGTAATGGTCTGTTCAATTTCTGCATAACTATGACTGATGCGTTCCTGGAGAGGTTCTGTGTTGGTCTCCATGAGATGAACAATGTCCATTCGGTTGATCTTAGTGAGACATTCAATGAGGTTGGTATCTGACATATTAGAAAAAGAGCATTTATTACAACTGAGAGGTATTCCTTTAAAAATCTTTTTCACTCAACTGCCTTACTAAATTTTTGATATCTGTATAGGAAACAATCAAAGCCTAGTTAAATGTCTTTGCACAAATAAGCAAACAGACAAAAGAGATACGTACAAAAAAGATGGCACAGCACGGGCACAAGCCCTAAACATAGAATTGTCAGATAACATACAGGACACCTGTCATACCTGAATTGCAGATCAAAAACAAATACTTCTTTAGTATAAATATGCCCCAAATACTACATGGGACATGCTCATTCTAAAAACGTATTTTCTGACCACCTGAAACTTAAATTTAACTGGGAGCTGTTCTGTTTTTATTTGCTAAATCTGACACTCCTACTTAGAAGAATGTAAAGAGAAGGAATGATAAATGTAGACTGGATGTTATTTATGAGTAAAGGAAGCAGAAACAGAGGTAATGCACTATCAAGAAACAATGCTAAATAAAGCAACTGTGTCCACTTATCAATATATAAAAAGTATTAGGGCGGCCGGGCGCGGTGGCTCACGCCTGTAATCCCAGCACTTTGGGAGGCCGAGGCGGGTGGATCACGAGGTCAAGAGATCGAGACCATCCTGGTCAACACGGTGAAACCCCGTCTCTACTAAAAACTACAAAAAATCAGGTGGGCATGGTGGTGCGTGCCTGTAGTCCCAGCTACTCAGGAGGCTGAGGCAGGAGAATTGCCTGAACCCAGTAGGCAGAGGTTGCGGTGAGCCAAGATCGCGCCATTGCACTCCAGCCTGGGTAACAAGAGCGAAACTCCGTCTCAAAAAAAAACAAAAAACAAAACAAAAAAAAACATTAGGGCTTGAGTAACATTACTGTTAGAAGTGAGGGTTGTTATCATTTCCTACACTTAATGCTGTTCATACACATATCATGCAAGAGTCTTTATGCAACACGCATACTTTAGAAGTGACAGTAACATGTTCTCATTTGCTTAGAGTAGTTCACTAAGTTGTCATTCAACATCATTGGTAGGTTCTTAGAAAACAATGTTCTGGTCACAAAACACTGTCAAACTTCTAAATAAAACCCCAAACACTTTCAATACTAAACACTGAAGTGAAAATGAGTTACACATACATTTAAGAAAGATTAATAAATATAAGTAAGATAATTATTCAATTTTTGAGGAACCAGCGAGTGATGGTGGTCATAGTGGTGGTGGGGTTCAATTAAGGAATAAATCTTTGCAAAGTGAAAAATGTAAGTAGCACCTCCTCTCACCGTGCCGTTCATAAACAAATAATAACAAATATGGTGGGCTTGCTGAGCACTTTCCTAAGGCATCATTTATTTCATGCACTTGTATAATTATTATACACTGTACACGTTTTTATTTGACAATAGTTTGTATTCATTCATTCATTCATTCTTTTCCCAATCCCCTTATTCAGTTCAGGGTCTGAAGTGGCTGGAACTTAACCTAACAGCTCAGAGCACTTTGTATGGGAACCAACCAGGAGAGGATGCCATCCCATTGCAGGGTGCATTCACACACACACACACACCCATTCAGACTGGAACAATGTAGAAACATACGTGAAATTAATGTGCACATCTTTGGGATGTGGGAGGAAACTGGAATACTGAGGAAACAGCCACACAAACATGGAGAGGATACAAAAACTACACGCAAACAGTGGCCTTGCTGGGAATTGATTATTTTTTCTCATCAACGTTATAAGGAAATGACATTGAACAAAATGATATTACTCAATGACTTGTCGCAATTCAATTAATGGCATTTGTTACTTTACTATTTTACGGAATTTGCAAGATGTAGTTGTTGAGCAAGACATGTCCAACTTTAGCCCAATATACACATAGTTCCCCACTTACCTGTAGCATGTTTCCCATCCCTTTCTAACCAGTACTTCAGCAGTGCATGACTCTGGTCTTGAAGAGAGTTGGGATTTTCAATTCGAATTTGATGAATTTGCTCCTCAGTAAAATCCAGTTCTCTTGCTAATTCTAGAAGATAAAAAACTACTTTGTAAACACATTAACATCAAAGTTCCAGTCTCTACAACTTGCTTTGTGATTTTGTAAATAATGTGTTCTTTATATTGTGGTGAGTATTTGGATTCTTTTATTTCTACATATTAGAAGTGACTCTTACATGCCTTTTTTCTTCTAGTATTAAGTGTGCATTTTTCCCCCAAAAACTGGGTATAGAATTGATCACTGCATACTGCAAATAGTAAGTGTGAGGTAGTGATGATAAGATATGTATAATTCAAGCCCATTTGATTCCAAAATGCAAATGAGATCATTAATACTTGCTTATACTTTTAAGCAAGATAATAGAAAATAAATGACTGATAACAAGAGAAAAAAAAATTTCCCTTTAATTAACATAGGTGATACTTTGAGTATTATAAATCCTGTTTCTGGATACTTTGATAAATAGTAGTTGTAGCTATATTATGGTGGTTGGATAAATTCCTTCATTTGATTTGATGGCATGTGAATAAGAGGTAGAGGAAGCATTAATTAATCCAGGAAAGAAGACACAAAGTCTTCCTTTGAATTCTATTAACATTCCATATGGATTGGGTAGGCCGAGTGGCTCATGCCTGTAATCCTAGAACTTTAGGAGGCTGAGGTAGTAGGGGTTGCTTGAGGTCAGAAGCTAAAGACCAGCCTGGGCCACACAGTAAGATCCCACCTGTACAAAAAATAATTTTAAAAAATTAGCTGAGTGTGGTAGTGTTTGCCTGAGGTCCTAGCAACTCAGGAGGCTGGGGCTGGAGGATCACTTGAGCCTGGGAGTTTGATGTTACAGTGAGCTATGATTGTGCCACTACACTCTGACCTAGGCAATAGAGCAAGATCCTCTCTCTACAAAACAAAACAAACAAAACAATAAGCAAACTATTACATATGGATGCTTATACATTATGGGATGTATGTATGCGTGTGTGGGTGTGTAAATGGGGTGACTTCTTTTAAAGGAAATTTGACAATATCTTTCAAAATTAAAAATATATGTATCTTTTTTCCCAGCAATTCTACTTCTAAGAATATACCCTATAGATACGCTCACAAAAATATACCAATGCACAAGAATACTTTTTGCCATTACCAGGAAACCATCTAAAGCCCATCAACAAGGCCATTGACAAAATTATAGAACTTCCATATAGTGGAATTAAATAGCCCCTTAAAATAATGAAATACATATCTCTATGTTAACAGACTATGAGGAATATTATTCAGTAAATATTTTCCCTACTTTTAAATAACAGGCATAAATATAGGCATTGTATATTTTTTCTAAAAGCATGAGAAAGTATTAGTAGTTACCTCTGAGGCACAAGGCTAGAAGAAATGTGTGAGAGCCATATTTACTTTTCATTTTATGTCATTCTATATGGTGGTAGGTTTGAATTTTTACCAAATATATACATACTGCGTTTAATATATAGGTATGAGTACAAACATATTTAAAGAGCAAAAGAAATACTTCTGAATGTTATCTAGTAAGTCAGTCAGGAATAGCTTGGTACCATTGTCTCCCCTAAATCCCTGAATTAATTAAGTTTGATCAGTATGTAAGCATTACTTTAAAATACTTAAAAGTGAGAAAATGGCTACTCCTCCTGTTTCCAGTCACTTACTCTAAATTATTAGTTATCTTTATGAGTATTACAGGCTCCTATTCATCGTCAAATCTAAGAAATTGAAAGGAGAAGAATATTACTTTATAATGTTTGTCTCTTTGAAGTAGTCACAGTGATATTAAAAAAAAAAAAAGACTTAAAAAAATTAAACCAGACTGACAATCTTGCTTTAATATGCTAAGTCACAGGTAGATGAAAAAGTATAGTTTTTAAAACCTACAAATCATAATTTATAAAGTATATTAATTTTAGATTTCATTTTCTTAATAAATTAACATAAAATTTCTATACTTAAACACTCTCATTTCTCAAAAATATTAGTAAAATATCTCATTCATGTGTGTTTTAAAACTTAGCCAAAGCAAATTTTAGGGTTGTTTACTATGAAGAGTTTTGACATAAGGTATCTAAAAGAAGTAGCCCTCGTTAAATTTCACATTAAATTTGATAATAATTACATCTAAAATTGATATGAAACGTAATAATCTCCCTCTAATTTAGATCTCTACAACTGCCAAAGAAGGTTCCTGAAGGTTGCTATGTTCTCTAAATCTTCAAATAGAAAGTTTTATTATTCTAAATTTCAGAGATGACAAAAGGCCTGCCCTCGGCTACATCATTAACTGATGCAGAGCCCAGGTTTTCTAGTTCTTAGTTTATTCTTCTTTTTATATATTCTTTCTCAAGAAAAGGGTGGGGATATCTTTTATGTTGTTAATGACCCTTGACTGATGCATCTATGTCAGGTTTTATTGGAAAACTGGGTCACATTCTTTTTACCTGTCCAGCTGAAGCCAAGGTGATCAGCAATATAAGCCAGCCTTTCCTCGATCCGTTCCTGCTCATCCTGTGGATCTGGAGAAGGTCAAAAACAGAATGGCCAAAGGTTGTCTATGACAGGAGAGGAACCACAGTACTGATTCATTCAAAGAAAGGAAGTCACTTCTCCAAATACTTGAAAGCACTAACTATATATTACATTTCAGATCATATTGTGTGTCTGATTTCCAGGGTGGAATGGGGAATAGATCTAATATGAATCATGAAAACCATCTGCTTCCATATCTCTTTAATCAAGACTAGTTATTAGACACAATTATATAAGTTGCTGATTTGTAGTAGTCTTATGACTTTTCTTTTAAATTATCAGAGAGAATACTGCCCACCAGAAGATCACCATCTTGTTCATGGAACACCAGAGAAATCATAAATGGGATGCAGAAGTGGAGCAATTGGCTAGGACCTCCTATTATTGCTTGTGGAGGGATAGATCATTTCCAGGTCATCTCTGAAAGGAATCACATCAGAGAGTCACAAGAGATCTCAATCATGAGTTGATCAGACCATCCTGATTAGTATGGCCAGAAACATTTGCCTTGGCCCTGGTGACCTTGGAGAAACGAGGATAAAAGTACATGTATTTAAATGTGTATATTGTATTTGTATGCATACATGTCTTTTGGACAAAGTTTCTGCCTGCTTGCTATTAAGCTTATATACTACTTACTCGTAAATTATAATCTTCCCATTCATTTTAACTCCCACTGATTGATGGGCAGCATTTTACACCATGGTATAGGAAATTTTGCATAACCCAAATTTAGGCAAATTTAGGAATAACAGTCTTCATTGCAGAGATATTGGAAGAACACAGGCTACTTTTCAAAGCCATCTATGGTTTCCTTTTTTAAAACTTAAAAAGCCCTCACAGTCAACTTAAACTGTGCAAAGTTTGAGTTTTTGTTGTCTGCTGCATCTAATTTGAATACATTCTCCATTCATCTACCACATAAATGAAAAGCATATTTTTACCTTAGGTTTGTTTGCTTAAAGTATTTACCAATGGTATCTGAAATCCAGCCTTTCTGAATCAAAAACAAATCCATAACAATTAGAATTTCATGTTATGTGAAATCTTCTCAAGCAAATGGCTTCCTAATGATTACAAAATTGTAAGTGCAAATTATTTTAAAGTATGCAAAGGTAAGAAGAAAAGCAATGAGTCTTTATGCTATGAAACAAAATCCAATATATTCATGTGCAAAAGTGCTTAATTTGAGTCTAAGCTTGGGACTTCAGAACAACAAAACTCAAAGCTCGCATGGCCTTATTACGTGCAGAGGCTAAAGAAAGGCAAGATCACTATTGCCTGGTTATTATGTTTATGTTTTCCATAAGCATTCTCATTACTCAATCTTGAGATTGTTTTCTTAGACAAGAATATACAAAGAAAGCACAAAACACAAAGGGCTTACACAAACACATTAGTCACTACAGAAAGCTTAAAGAAAATGAGACACAAATCATCAAATAAAACAAACATACAAAGAAACTATATCAATTTTATGACATGCGTAGCACAGGGAATCCCAGTGGCTGGCAAATACCTTCAGCATGGTCATGGCCATTTTCATCAGGGATGCGTTCAATCAGAGTCTCAATAGACTCATCCCAAATGGGCCTTGTGTCAAAGATGTCCTCAGGAACTGAGTGCTCGGTCTCAACAGGTGGCAGATTTTCAATTACTGAAACTTCCAGGGCACTACTACTTTCATCGTCTGAAACTAGTTCCTGCTCCCTCTCTGACTGTGTCAGCCTATCCACTAACTTGGAAGCCTCATCACTAATCTCCTCAAAGAATTCTATGGAATTTCTGTAAAGGTCAAAGAAATGCTCCTTACTTTCTTTTGTGGGGCTCATGCCCCCCCTGCAGGAAGATGTGGTGCTTCTGCTCTTAACTGGCAATCGAGATGCAAGTATCTTTGGTCGTGTGGCCCCTTCTTCTGATTCTAACTCAAGTTCCTCTGCCCTCTCTCTGCTCTCTGTTTCTGTCTCAGTGTAACTTCTGGTGTTTACTGGGCATTTGATCTTTGAGTCCAAAGAACTAGCATCAGATTCAGATTTGCTCCTATTATCTGGTGTGATGCTTGTCATGTCCTGTCCCTGAGGAGCCACTATCTTCTGGACAGTGGTGTCTAGATCTGAGAGCTGCTGTTCCACTCTTTGGAGGGGTACTTTGACAGGGAGTTTGGACTTTGGTTTTGCTTCATCCTCTTTATTTTCTTCATCTACACTGGATAGAAAATCTTCAGAGAGTGAACTCTCATACTCTGCAGATGGAAGTGCTGGGGTGGAAGTGGGCATAGTCCTTACAGGAATTTTGGATTTGCTTTCAGTAGAAGGCACATTCTCCATGGGTGCAGTAGGAATTTCAATCACTGATTTCTGTTCTTCTGGGGAAGAATCAGGAGAGGCATCACCTTTATCTGAATAAACAGACCTGGTGACTGTGGAAAAATCTAACTGGGCTTGTACAACTAGTTCAGAAGAGTCAGGGCAGGATACCTGCTTTACATCAGGCAGATGAGGTGTATCACCCGTTTGCATGGTGGAGAGGTCCTTGGTCCCTACACTAACAGCTTCTTTTGTCAGTGTTTCAGTGGAGGCTGAAATCCCCATTTGGGAGTTAAGTTGAGCATCTGAAGCAGGTATTTCCTCTACTTCCTCACTCAGGTCTTCTGGAAGTAAGTCAGCTTCATCATCCACTGCTTCTTTTGATTCTGAAAGCACTAGTGACTCAACTGATGTCTCCAGCTGTAGTGTCTCAGCCCCCGCAGCCTCTTCTTTCACATCTTCAGAGGGAGTCTCTTCCCTGGATTCTTGACCAATTTGGAAAAAGTGAAAACTTTCATCTGCATAGGACCTTTTGGTCATATCGATGGCACCACTTCGGGTCATTTCAAACAATTTTCCTTCCTGAAACAGAAATGGGTTTTGCTCACTTGTTGGGGTACCCTCTTCAGTTGGGGTCCTAGCAGGAGTGGTGTCAGGGGTGGTACCCTGTGATTGTCTGTCTACCATCAAACCAAATATCTTTTGTTCTTCCTCTTTCACACGAGCCTCAAAGGCTTCGTCGTCTTCCCGAATTTCACTCCAGGAATCAGAATCCACATCAGTTTTTGTGATGAGGACTTTGCTTATTTGTTCACCAACAACTGCTGTTGTAGCTGGCATAGTAGGCTCGAGAGATGAAGAGGCACTGTCTGATTGGATTTCCCACAAGGTACTTTCTTGTTGGGATTCCATTTTTAGGCCCTGGCTCTCAAAATTAGATTCTTTGCTTAAAACAGTTCCACCAGAGGAGCTTGCCACTACGTCTTCAGCAGAGGATGTGATGGTAACGGAATACACTTCAGAAGAGTGAAAATTTGTGGGGTGATCTGCATCTGTCTGGGTTTTGCTTTCTTCACTAGAGAAAAAAGATTGGGACGGGACATTTTCATAAGGGCTAGTGATTTGGGGATCATAGATTTCATCAGTCTCAGCTAGGTTGGACATGGGAACATCCGTAGAAAATCTATCTGTTTGAGTAGTAATGGATGAGTCTTGAGTGGGGCAGTCCTTTGTTAAGTTCTCAAATGTTTCATCAGTTTTTGTGACCTCTGTTTTTTGAGTAGAAGATGTGGCAGATATGTCTTCATCCAATACTTTTCCTTCAGATACTAAACAATGAGGGAAAGAGGACGAAGATGAAAAGCTTTCACTGGGGCAATCTACTTGTGAAGATTCTGCTGTAGAAACATCAAGCTCTTTTCCTTCTGTGTCTTTTTCATGAGTGCCTTGGAGAGCTAATGATTCTTTATAGATGACTGGCTGTTCATCAACATCATCACCAGTCGGACTCTGCAGACCTGAAGAGACAGGAGCAACTGAGCTGCTAGGACTCATGGCCTCACATCCATCGCCATCACAGGTTTTTGGCTGATCAGTGTCTCTGTTTAGCTTATCACAAGACGTATCTGCACCCTCAGTGGAAACTACATGACTGTCTTCAGCTAAATGGGATTCAGAATCTTTTTCTTCTTCTGATTTGCCTGGCTCTTCCTGAGTGTCTTCACTCATCTTGAAAGTATATTGTTTGGAAACGATAGGCTGGAACTGTACTTCTTCTGGGCTAGAATTGGAGTCCATGCTGGATGGAAGTGGAGAAGGAGGTTGAACTCGAATCACTGGTTCTGGTAAGAGACCCGAGTCAGCACCTTTTTTTAGCTGTGTCAACTCAGGTTCACTTTCCGAGGAGGAAGACACCTTCCTGCTCTCTGAAGTTACTAATACAGGGACACCACTTTCATCCTCCTCACTGCCTATATGTTTTGGTTCATCCACATCTGCTGAACAGTCAGCATCTGGGTCAGAGGATGAAGAAGATTCTTCTTGTTTGGGTTCTTTTTTGTAGTCCCTTTTCTGCTTTGCTTCCTGTTCAAGTTCATCAAACGTTTTGATTTTGGTTACCATTTTAAACATCTCCTCTTCAGGTGTGAACCTCTTTTTCTCCCCGTTTTCTGAATCATCCTCCTCTGCACATTCATGAATCACAGCTGGTTTTGGTGTACTTACATCTGTGGTTTTGGGTGTAACCTCGTAGCTGACTTCCTCAGAGCTGGGGGTGTCAGGAGAAAGGGGGCTCTTCCCTGAGCTCTCCATGAGCGATGTCTGCTCAAGACTGTCATCCTCAGCACTGCCGTCAGGGTCTCGGAGTAGCCGGGACCGCACAGAGGCCACTTCCATCAAGAGTTCTGTTTTGGCAACAGCTGCAGGAAGAGGAAAGTGACTTGGAAAAATTCCAGCCTTCATCTTTGGTTCAACAGGGCTGCTTTCCAGAGAGTCACGGCAAGGGGATTCTTTCAGAGGACTTGGTTCCAGAGAATCAGGGGTTTTGTGTGAGGAGTTATCTTCTAGCACAGGGCTGGCTTCCAGAGAGTCTTTGTGGCTCACTGCTAATGAGTCATCAGCCACAGCGCTGAGGACTTCACTATCTCGGCTAGGGAGTGCAAGTTCTAACCCTTGGGGACTTCTAATGACTCCCTGAGGCTTTGATTCAGTTTCTGTATCTGTCTTTACAGAAGCCTCAGGCAGCGGCGAGGCCTTTGTCTCCTCTAACATGGCTGTGAATTCCTGAGCCTCACTATCAGTTTGTGTCTTGTGGGCTGAACTACCAAAGGTACTTTGACTTTCATCATAGCCTGCCTCCTCAGTCAGTCCCGTGGGTGTCTCTTTTGCTAATGCTACACTACAGCTGTCTGTGCAATCATCTTCTCTTTTGGGACCTGTGTCTTTGGGAGACTCTAGAGTGGCCTCTTTCTGAAAACCCTCAGTAGAGGTCTCTGAGCCCTCAGTGACTGTGGCACCTTGCTCTTCAGAGCCACCAGTAATGTCTTTGGTTGCAGAATGTTCTTTTTCTGTATGAATTTCTGTGGTGGTTTCTACCTTGGTGGTTTCCTTTGTTTCCCCAATTTGCTCCTCACTTTTCTTTGGTGAGAAAGAAAGACTTTCTGGGCTTGTCTCAGGGGTCTCTGCTAGGCCCTCATGCTTATAGCTTTCTTCTGAACTAATCTGAGGGGTCCCCTCCATCAGGCTGCCACACGGAGAGCCTGCTACCCCCTCGTTCTTTAGGCTTTCAGAACTGCCATCTAAAGCACCGCTCTGTAAAGACAGAGCTGGAAGGAACTCATCTTTCATGTAGTCGAGGGGAAATGTCGTGTTGAAAGGACTAGTGAGTACTTGGTCTAAGTGAAGCTGTGCCTTTTCTGTCTCCTCGCTCAGTCGGAATTGTTGGTATTTGTCATTGTCTTCCAACTCTTGCTTAATGACTGCAGAGAAGTCAGTGGAGGTTTTCCTATCTGGGCTGATCTGGAGATCCATATCTCCCTGCTCATCAGCCACCTTTTCTTTGGGGACTTCACTCTCTCTGTGGCTTTCTTCTTCAGGTGCTGACTGAACAGGTTCAGGTATTTTGTGGCTGAGACTTTTCTCCTTTTCTGCGACTGCATCTTCTTTCTTAATCCCTATGGAGGAAGCACGAACTCCTCTTTTGGATTCTGTCACGCCCGTTACTGGGTGTCTCTGACCTCGTTTGATGGTCTGATTCTCTGTTTTCTGAGTTTCTCTCTGGGTTAATATTGGCCCCTTTTCTTTTTCTACCCGAACTTTACCTTTCTCTTGTGGCTGCTTTTGTTTTGCTGATTTGTGCTCAAAGAGTCCAGTTTTATGTTTAGAAGGGTCCTGGCCTGACTGAAAAGCCTTCATCAACTCCCGAACAGACATGGTTTCCTCGATCCTCTCTGTTTTTGAAGTGGGGGATACAGGTGGTTGCTTTTCTGTTTTGCCAGAAGGTGACACAGGCAGGTGCTTCTCGGTTTTCCCAGCGGTTGATACAGGTGGGTGCTTGTCTGTTCTTCCGGAGGGCGAAACAGGCAAGCGTTTTTCTGTTCTCCCAGGGGATACTGGTGGGTGTTTTTCTGTTCTCCCAGAAGGTGATACAGGTGGACGTTTGTCTGCTTTGCCTGAAGGTGAAATAGGCGGGTGTCTTTCTGTTTTTGTAGATGACACAGGGGAGTGCCTTTCCGTTTTTGTCGAGGGTGATACAGGTGAGTGTTTCTCAGCTTTACTCGATGATGACACAGGTGAATGTCTTTCCGTTTTTGCAGAGGGTGACACAGGTGAGTGTTTCTCAGTTTTACTTGATGGTGATACTGGAGGGTGCCTTTCAGTTTTTGCAGAAGAGGAAAGAGCAGAGTGTCTTTCTGTTTTAGAGGACGGAGACCCTGGTGCATGTCTCTCTGACTTCAGAGAGGGTGACGCAGCTGGATGTGTCCTGTGGGTGTTTTTTTTTGGCACGTCCTCCTTGCCTTTGACTCTGATGGGCAACTTGCTTCGACCTTTCTGTTCATCTTCCACTCGCTTCTGAAGGGCCTTTACTTTGTCCTTTATAGAACCAATGGGAGTTTCTTCTATCAAAGGAGATGTGGCCTTGGCAGTGGGAAGAGGTTCAGGGGCTAAACCTGGGTCTTCATCTAATGACTCTTCTGAACTACCTTTTTTAAGTTCAGCTTTCTCTGCACTAGCTTGTAAACCTTCCTCTTTTTGTTTCTGCTTTTCTTTTAATTTCCTTCTCACTGGCTTCTTTATTCCCAAGCTTGGTTTGTGTTTCTGTGTACTCTGTGTCTCATCTGGGGGTTTGTCTTTCCCTTCCTTTTCAGAGCTCCTGCCAACAGACAGAGCCTCACTTTTCTTCCCTGCCTTATCTTGAACTGTCTGTGGCTGCTCTTTGGGAGGAGGCACATAGGAATTCAGTTCGTCAGTAAGGTAGTTCACTAGCCCAGTTGAGTCTTTCTCTACTTTTCCTTTGATCTCTTTATCTACTCTAACTTCTACACATGGATATTCAGTGATTTCTAAAGGTGCTTTTTGCTTAGCCTCTTCTATTTCCTCATCACTGACAATAACCCATTCCTCTTCCACTAATCCTTTCTCAGACCGAGAGCGCTGCACACTGCCTTCATCTCTGGTGCAGGTTCCACTTCTCAGGATTTCATTCACTTTCTCTAAGTCCTCTTTAACTCTTTCAACGATTTCAAAAGGCTCTCCTGGCTCTTCCTCAGCAGCCTTCACCAGCTCCTTCACTTTAATAGAACCTGCCTTATCAGACACATCTGTGGTCAAGATGGCGGTCATTTTGATCAAATCTTGTTTCATCTCAGAAACTTCAGAGAGCAAGTCCGGACTTGCTAGGACAGGAACTTCATTAACCAGGTGACTTTTCAGGACAGATGTTTCTGTAGATTCTGTCTCATCATCTTTGATGTGAATGAAAAACATTGAAAGTAAAATGGAAATCAAAAAAGATATTGGCAAATGTAATCAGGACTGAAACGACACAGCGTCTTTTCCTGTTGTGGTGGGAGGGGCAACAAAATGGACTGGGAATGGTAGATCCACAAGGCCTCAGGGTACAAGAGCAAAGCAAGGCTAACGGAAAAAAAAAAAAAAAAAAAAAAAAAAAAAAAAACTGAAAAGGAAAAATGAGCAGGAAATAACTTGCTTAATTTTTCTCACTTGTAGCACATCCACACATACAACAAAGCTAAAACAAGACACACATACACACAAAAAACCCATTTACATATCAAAACAAAAAACACAGTGAAATTACACAAAGGTATCTCAAGATTGTTCGGATGTTACAGATCAATGTTGAAAAACAAAAAACAACCATGTGGAAAAAATAAGAAAAAAAGCATTAGAAATTGCAGAAAGTTGATTTCCTCTAGGAGAAAGCCAGTAGTAGCAAGCTCAGAGTCACATCTAATGATGTATGTACATTTTTAATCATATAAAAATCTGAAATTCAGTATGTTTAGTTCTACCAATATACAAAGACTATATAAAATATATCTGAATCAGCTGCAAACCGGCATTTCATCTAAGGGAAATTCACACCTAACAATGAAACAAACAGTCTGGTACTACAAGGCATGGTCCTTTCCTTGGAGCAACCTCCTTGTTTAGACACAGAATGGACAGACCAAGGAGGGAAATAAAGGAAAGGAAAGAAAAACAACAGAAACAACAATTGTGATTAAACTTATATGTGAGTCCAAAGTTAAAATGTGATGCATGGCAACCCAAGTCAGAGACAGTCACACAGGACACACGCACAGTTTATGTAAGCCAAGTTATTTCCATGCAAAGCAAAGGTGGAGTAAAACTGCCGGGAGAGGTGGCCTTGCTGAAACGCATGGGCAGGAGGATGGCAGGAATTTAGAACAGATATGGAAAACGTTACTGTGGTGAAGTGTACTTATTTCCCTACAAATCCATGCATAAGCTGCTGAAGGTGGTATATTTGAGGCTTAGGTTATGGGGTCTTACACCTATTAAAGGTAAGAAAGAAAACTCAGTCAACTGTTTTAAAATGTACTCATAAAAAGACTTCAGGTGAGAGTCCATTCCACAGAGCCCTTCTTAGAGATTAGTTTACACCTAGATGAAGATTATTTAATGATTATCTTTAAAGTAAAAGCAAATGTAAGTCTGTATTTGAAACTTTTGAAACCCTCAAAACACCTAGAAATCATTCAGGAAAATCCATGGCATTATAGCAACATGGTAATATTTTTTTCTTTCTTTTATTTTGTTAACAATTGAGCCGGATGGATGAATTAATTTTTTATTCTTACTAGTTTGTATCAGAGGAGCAAAGTAAGGGGCTATTTAAATAAACGGAGTGGTTCTGAAGAAGAAAGTGAGAGAATACAGTAAAATCACTTAAAAAAGGAATCAATTAAGGCAATGTGATATGTCATATAAACAAAAGTGCTTTCTCTTGGGAGAATCTGTATTTGTTGACATACAGTATGTGAATTTACAGTTATAAATATATTAATGTAATTTATACCAATACAATTCTTTTCAATTATATAAACCAATGAAAATATCCAGAATCTCAAATATTCCAGATCTGAATAGTGATTTAACCTGAGGGGAAGCCTCATTCAAAGCAACTTCAGTAAATTGGTAGTAAAATACATTGTCCTACGACTTTAAAAAAAGCCCTCAGATCATTGTATAGGGCCAGATGACCATATTAAACATGGTTCTATGTTTTCTCCTTTTGGGAATACACTCCGAAATACAGTAAATCAAAATAAACTCTGAAATAAAGTTTATTGATCTTAAAATCAATAAACTTTAAAAATCAGATTTTTAAAAAGCATTTGAGGCACAAAAGCAGAAATCTGTAAAATTCAACTGAAGTTTCCACAAGAAGCCAGAGAGTCACTAGAAATAGTCCAACAAACTAAAATGTCAATTGGATATTACAAACCTGAAATGAGCTCTAAGATAGCTTTTTTAAGGTCTGTAAAAACCATTTCTATCTCTACTAGATCAGGTTTGGGATTTGCATCATTATTTAAAATTAGCCCTATAATAAAATGCTGTTGTGATTAGTAATTTCACCAGGGAGTTTTAATTTTTGCATTATTTGCTCTTCGTTTTTGTTTTTGTTTTGATTTTTTCCAGAAAGTTTTCACAGAAGCCTGTTAGACCTCAGCCCTAAAGACGTTGGTTACATACACTTCACCACAGTAAAAAGTGCAAGGGAGGGGTGGGGGAGGCGGCAGGTGTTGGATGGAGTTAGCATCAGCTAAAAGCTATTAGACAGTATCACTTTTGCAGGTGTATCCTACAAAAATAATTAGCTCTCTACAGAAGTCACTACTGCATTACATAAAAAGTGATACTGTCATGTCAGTGCTTAAAAAATAATGAGATGACAATGTTATGCTAACAAATGGACAAAACGGTAGGGTGGGTTTCTAAACAAGCATAACAGCAATACCAGGGTTAACAAGGATGTCAAAAGAAAGTGAATGCTTAGATGAATAATCACTGCATTTTACTGCTAAATAGCTCACAAATTAGGTACATTTGTAATTTAACTGGCCAAGCTGCTTTTATAAATATATTAATGATTAATAAGGAAAATATAAAAATTTAATTACTAGAGTGGTTAGTAATAGCAACTAGCTTGCATTTTAATTCATGCTTCTTTTTATGGTAGCCAGCTTTCAAACAAACTCAATTTTATTTAAATTCTTACTTTTTTCTGATGTCATATCGATCTGAAAGAAAACATACATAAATTGAATGGTTACAAATACTGCATTAGCTCATAGCCCCTGGCGTGCACAAAAAGCTCCTATTCATAATTATAAACGTGGGGCGACATCATAGCTATAGGAAGGTCAGAGTATTTTTGCTACAGTTTTTCCTGAGAATCTCCATGATTCTTATCTGGATTTTGAAAAAAAAATTCTGTTTTCTACACACGACAGGTAGAAAGTCCTTTCTAACATGTTAATCCTCGGGAGATCTGATCCAGGCTGGTTTTGATGTTAAAATACATATTTATTAGGGAATAAATCAGAAAAACAGTGAAGTCAGTATTAACTAATCAGTATCCATTAAGTTAGTGGAGAAAAAGGAAATAATGACAAATAGCAATGCCAGGGTGATATGTTCTATAGAAGTAGTTTCATTATCATTAATAACAAGCCAGCATTCCAGATCCTGAAAAGAATATAAACTGGATCTATTGCTCTGAATAGTTCCAGAAAGTATTCAGTAGGAAAATTATCTAATAAAAAAAGTGATTTGTGAACATGACAAAGGTGGCTTTCCTATCATTTTTAACAGCTGTGGTAGTAGGGTCACTGAGTACAGGAAGGAAATTGAGTATATAAAACCAAGAGTATCTGTGTGGTTGAGGGAAAGAATGACTTCAGCCTTAAGTCAGTTGTGTATATGCCTATGTACAGCAGGACAGCGAGTTTATAATCACCCTTCTCACCCTGCTCCATTGCCAAGACATCAGAAAAAAAAAAAATGAATCCAGGTCATCTTCTAAACTGGTAAGGCCTTGCATTTTAAGCGGATGGGTACAAGGGTATTTATTATATTTTTCTTTATATTTTTTATTTTGAATGCATTGGAATAACATTAAAAAAGAAAACTATATTTGAAAATATTTACATATAGCTAACATGCATCTATGTTAGAAACAAATATATTAAGTTTTCCATTTACGTTTTTCACCTCTATTATAATAGTTGGGCATTTTCAGATCTTTGTAAGGGAGACCAACACATTTGCTTTAAATATTCAAGCAGGTATAATTCATACGGCTATTTATTCCAGGTAACCTCTCTAAGATTTGCTTTCTTCATCTATAATGTAATATTTAATAATAGACACCTCATAGGTGGTTGTGAGAGATCAATATTGATGAGGCATGTGCAACAGTAAAGATCCCACTTTATAAGAAATTAGTAGTAGTAGTATAGTTCTGCATTATAATATTATAGTCTAAGGAATTGACTATATGCTTCTTAAAGCTTTTTGGTCTCAGTGCTTATTAAACTTTTTGGTCTTAGGGCCCCCTTACACTCCTAAAAATTACTGAGGAACCTGAAAAACTTCTAATGGTGTGTGATATGTATAAATAGATATCTGTATTACAAATGAAAGCTCAGAAAATGCTAGAACCTAAGAGTATGCAAGCATACATTCCATTAATTGCCAGAGTGGCAATATTATCACACGTAGTATAGCCTCTGGAAGACTCCTCTGTAGTTTGTAAGGATATAGAAGTTTAAAAGGCATATTATGTATTAGTACATTAAAAATGTACTAAGACATTTAATTAAAAATTAATTAATTAAAAATTTAGACATTTATAATGTCTTAGTATAAAAAGAGTTTCAACCACTAGATGTCTTCAGACTAAGAACCCCTGAGATGATGGTTTAGCTCTTAATAGTCGGTGGAGAAATTTAGAGACTGGCAACAATTTATAGTGAAATTTTACTATTACCTTAAGTTAGTCCACAAGATGAGAAAACAGGCTTACAGAGTTTAAGTAAAATTGTGCCCCTTTAATTACTAAGAACTGCCTACCCCTTCTAAGAACACAGGCTATGTGCTCTTATTAGTTAGTGGTTATATCATGACACAGCTGTTAACAAGTGACACTGTCATAAAATTACCTCTTCCTCCTGTTCTTGATCTGACTCTGATTCCTTTCCGCCCCAAGATGCCATGCAAGATGGAAAAAAGAGAGAAGGAAGAGTAGAAAGTATTCAGAAGAAAAGGAAAGAGTAAATAAACATTCTTTCAATGAGCATTAACAGGCAAGCATACAGTCAGCATACTGTTTTCTTCTTACTAACAGTTTACAGAAGAAAGCCAGAAAAGAGGACTGACTTAAATACAAAGTTTGTAGATTTAAGAGACAAAAGAACCAATATTATAAATATACTAATTTCAGATACTAGATCACCACAGCAGTCTTGAAGTTTGACCTTAAATGAACTGGATGGCATTTGTCATTATAGAAATTGGTTGAAAATATTAAAAGCTAGAAATAAGCATATGGTGAAAAATTTCAATACACAGGCAATATTTAGAAGCATTATTATAACAAAGAACTACTAAATTCTTTTTTTCTTTTCTTTTCTTTAATAGAGACAGGGTCTTGTTATGTTGCTCAGGCTGGTCTTGAACTTCTGGACTTAAGCAATCCTCCTGCCTTGGTCTCCCAAAGTGCTGGGATTACAGGTGTGAGCCATAGTGCCCAGCCAAGAGGTACTAAATTCTAAGGTATATTTTCAATGTACAATGTCTGGCATTTTTTTCTTTTTGAGTTACAAAATAGCTGGACCATCACAGCATTAGTACCTGTGTCTGATATGTGTTGACTTAGAGATAAAATGTAATAATAAAATTAATGCTTTCTTTAGAGCACACTGAAAGCTCACTATAATCAGCCAAAGCTCAGTCATCTTTCTATAACACTTACGTGGCTTGCCCGAAGCAGTATGTATTTCTTTGTGGTTCTTATTTGGCATACTGCCTCCAGTGCCTCACTACTAATCAGCAATACAAATCCCAAAATACATTCTGCACCATCAGAATACAATGAAATTATGCTCATTCGGGTCAATATACCCATTTCTATATTTTAATTTTTGGAATTACATGTATATTTACATATATAAATAATATTTTGTTTTATTCATTTAATAAAAATTCACAATGTCAAACCTAATGCGACGACCTTTTCTCTATATGGTTGATCTCTATTTATAAGAGCAATTGGTTAAGCAAATATAAAATTTAATAATTGTGGTGGAGAAAAAGAACTATAGGACATTTTTTGTTTTGATGTCAAGATTTGGGATGTTAAACATATCCCTACTTCTCCTCCAGGTCTCTGCAGCCACCACCCATCACCCTTCCCAACCTGTCATATAGACGCTGACAACTTCCGCATCCACCTACAGATTGCCATGTGAGAGCTTCCAACTCAAAACAAATATTGGTTAAAAAACTTTAAAAGAATGAAACATAAGTTATCCACAACACTTAATTAATTTAGTTGTCTTATTTGATTTAATCAGAGTATTTAATGAATTACGTGATGGGGAGAGGTTCGAAAAGAAAGTAATTCCTGTAGGTAGACTTGGGGTCAGAAATTAGTGAAATTTTTCTTTTCAACAATGTTTTAAATCTACTCTTCATAACATGGCAAATATTTTTAACTAATCAACTATTTATACTATTTTTTATTCTAATCAATAAGTTACACAAGTTATTTTGCCTAAGCTGCCCTTGAACTCCTGGGTTCAAGTGCTCCTCTCACCTCAGCCTCCTGAGTAGCAGGGAGTACAGGTGTACACCATCACACCAGTTTATATACTCCTAAAACATGATAAGTTGTAAGATCAATAGGTAATCATTTAGAAAAAATAAAATATCATAAGGCACCTCTGAATTTAATAATATGTAAGCCACGTGTGAACTGGTAGTAAACAGAAGTTGATGAACTCCAGGATTTTCGTAAGGCCAAATGCACTAGTATGGTCTCAGGAGAGCACATGAAAACAATAATGAAGAAAAGCCAATTATTTTTAAATATTTCTTCAAAAAGTTAAATCTGAAGCCCAATTTTCTCACTTCCATGTCCAATATTAATAGAATTTTTGCATCAAAGTGCATTTAACATAAAATCAGGTGCCACTGCTTTTTTTCTTAAGTGGAAATTGGAAATTTGACAGAGAATCAAACGTGATTATTACATGTGCTTGCGTTCAGTCTTTGTTTATACTCATTTCATTAAGTCATTGCAAAAGTAATTGCTGGTTTTGTTATTACTTTTGCACTGACCTAATGCAAGATTTAAATGTCAATTCCTACACTACCTGAATTGCACTACAGCAGATTTTACAATACCTTTGTATAAATCGGCAAGGTGATATTTAAGTTGCAAATAGCCTGATGCACCAGGCCTCTTGTGGATTTTGGCTCCTTCATAAATGATAGTCGTCCGCAAGGTTCCTGAGTTGTATCGCGTACCTTGAACAAGAAAGACATGCATGATTCACCCATATTTGACACGCAGCATTTACTTTAACTAGATGATGCTTTAAAGAGGAAAGTAAAATTCATTTGTTAATGCTAGGTAAGAACTCAAACGATTTCCTCTTTCTCTTTTCCTTACCATCTGGAAAGCCTCTTTAAAAATCATTCAGCTTTCTTTTTTAGTTTTATTTAAGTACTGTTGACAAAAAAAATGCATAAATTTAAGGTATAAAATACGATGATTTGATATATGTATACATTGTGAAATGATTACCATGTCAAACTGATTAACATATCAATCACCTCACCCTTCTTTTTTGTGATGAGAACACTTGAGATCAGTCTTAGTAAATTTCAAGTATGTAATATATTACATACAATTAACTGTAGTTTAATGCTGTACATTAGATCATCAGAACTTAGCTTTTTAAATAATTATGGTAAAATATACATAACATAAAACTTACCATTTTTACTATTTTGAGGTATAAAATTCAGTGGCATTAAGCACATTCGCAAACTTGTATAATCATTATCTCTATCCAGAATGTTTTTCATCCCACACAGAAACTGTCCCCACTGAACAATGGCTCCCCATTCCCCTCTTGCCTAGCCCCTAATAACCACTATTCTACTTTCTGTCTCTATGCGTTTGCCTATGCTAGGTACAGGTAAAAATGGAGCCATACAGTAGTTATCCTTTTTTGTTTGGCTTATTTTACTCAGCATAATGTTTTCCAAGTTCATTCATATTGCATCCTGTGTCAGAATTTCATTCCTTTTTTAAAAAATTATGATAAAATATATGTAACATAAAGCTTATCATTTTAATCATTTTTAGGTGTCCAGTTCAGTGGCATTAAGTACATTCACATTGTTGTCTAATCATCACTACCTTCCATCTTTAGAACTTGTTAATCTTCCCAACTGAAATTTTGTATCTATTGAACAATAATTCCTCAATTCCCCCTTCTCCTGTCCCTAGCAACCACTCTTCTACATTCTGTCTTTATCTCACTACAAGGAGAGGTCAAAAAAATTAATTAAAAAAAAATACTTTCTGTCTTTATGAATTTGACTACCCTAGTTACCTCATATAATTGAGAGCATGCAATATTTGTTCTTTTGTGTCTGGTTTATTTCATTTACCATATTGTAGCATAAATCAGAACTTCTTTCCTTTTGAAGGCTGAATAGTATTCCATTGCATGTGTATACCACATTCTGTTTGTGGACATTTTGGCTACTGCTAAGAACATTGATATGCAAGTAATTGAGTCTATGCTAATTTTATATTTAACTTTTTGAGGAAAAACTGTAGTGTTTTCCAAAGTGGCTGTACTATTTTACATTTCCACCAGCAATGCATTGGGGTCCCAATTTGTCCACTTCCTTCCCAACATTTGTTTGTTTTCTTCTGTTTGTTTTAATAACAGCCATCCTAATGGGTATTCAGTGGTATTTCTTCGTGGTTTTGATCTGCATTTCCCTTCACTGTTGAACATCTCTTCATGTGCTTATTGACCATCTGTATATCTTCTTTGGAGAAATGTTTCCTTAAGCACTTTGGTCATTTTTGTATTGGGTTGTTGGTGGAATGATTCTGCACACCAACAATATCAAACATTAGCTTAATTATACAGCTGTCTGTGTTAAATAGATCCATTACCCCTCAGCAGTTACTGCTTAATGTGGTGATCTGTAAGGATCTATCATCAATCACCATCTCTCTCCAGTTATATTGGCGATCATTAAAAAATCTGGAGACAACAGATGCTGGAGAGGATGTGGAGAAATAGGAGCACTTTTACACTGTTGGTGGGAGTGTAAATTAGTTCAACCATTGTGGAAGACAGTGTGGCAATTCCTCAAGGATCTAGATATAGAAATACCACTTGACCCAGCAATCCCATTACTGGGTATATACCTAAAGGATTATAAATCGTTCTATTATAAAGACACATGCACACGTATGTTCATTGTGGCACTGTTTACAATAGTAAAGACATGGAACCAACCCAAATGCCCATCAATGATAGACTAGATAAAGAAAATGTGGCACATATACACCATGGAATACTATGCAGCCATAAAAAAGGATGAGTTCATGTCCTTTGCAGGGACATGGATGAAGCTGGAAACCATCATTCATAAGTGGGTGTTGACCAATGAGAACACATGGACACAGGGAGGGGAACATCACACACCAAGGCCTGGTGGGGGTTGGGGGGCTAAGGGAGGGATAGCAGGGAGTGGGGGATTGGGGAGGGTTAACATTAGCAGAAATACATAATATAGATGATGGGGGTGATGGAGGCAGCAAACCACCACGGCATATGTATGCCTATGTAATAATCCTGTACAATCTGCACATGTACCCCAGAACTTAAGTATGATAAAAAAATAAAAAATAAAAAATCTATCATCAATCAGGCAAAGCAATTGAACCAGAAGTGGCACAATGAGAGAGACTCAGTAAAGATCTTCAGAAAACTTAACAAGAGGTTTCCAGACACATGTTTTGAAAAAATAATAAGGGGTTAAAATAATCAAAGGAGTCATTCATTGCTGATGAACAGCTGGAAATGAATAGGTGAAAAAGGACTGGAAACAAACCTACAAAAACCAGCCTATACCTGAGAGGACTGAGCATTAGGACCTCTAGATTAGTGAGATAAATTGTGAAAAACAAAAAGGAAAATGAGCTTGGAAAACAAAGCAGAGTAGAATTATTGCCTTCTTTTTATTTCCTGAATCTCTTATTTATTCATTTGTGGTCCCTTTTAGATTGGAATCAAAGATGAAATGTGTATATATCACCTCAAATCCCTAACTTGGATAAATATTTCTAAAGAGAGCTGACAAATATCTGGTGCACAGACTTGTCTCCATGCTATTTATTTATTTTTTTTTTATTATACTTTAAGTTCTGGGGTACATGTATAGAACATGAAAGTTTGTTACACAGTTATACATTTACACAGTTATACATGTACCATGGTGGTTTGCTGCATCTATCATCCCATCATCTACATTAGGTATTTCTCCTAATGCTTTCCCTCCCCTAGCCCCTCACCCCTTGGTAGGTCCCAGTGTGTGATGTTCCCCTCCCCGTGTCCATGTGTTCTCATTGTTCAACTCTCACTTATGAGCGAGAATATGTGGATGCTGTTTATTGAATGAATTTATGAAAATATATCAAGTCTATATCTCTGAGATAATTTCTTATTAGCTTAAGTGAGATGCTGGGTCTTTTGAGAGGTTTTATTATAAAAAGTTGCCACTTAGAACTCTTGATCTCCACACTTGTGAAGTTCACATATATTTTTAAATCTAAGTGTAAATATTTAAAAGTTATAATAGTAAGATAAATAGACTTTCCTTCAAATTTGGAAAAGACTGGTCACTGTTCCTAACTAATAAGTTGGCTATTATTTGTCCTGTTCTCATCCTTAAACATAGTCTATAAAAATTCAGGTTGACTTTGAACCTGAAAACTAAAAATAATTGGTTTCCCAAGGCTGTAAAACGTTGTAAATACGGTTAAAAAGAAAACTCTGAAAATGACTGAAAAGCAAAAATTTTCTATTACTAAAGGAAGTCAAATTCTTCCTTAATCTTGAATAAAATGCATCACAAAATTCCATGTATATATTACCTTGACAAATAGAGGAAGTCTATTTTCTTTGAAGGCAAAAAAACTGAATATATGATGCTGGCCACTTTTAGTTAATGGTACCAGGTTGCCAAAACAATCAACATAGATGGGTTTTCCTTCTAATACCTGAGTGAAAACAGAGAAATAACAATAAAGTAGCTGCAATTATAACTTCTTGTTTACACAAAGAAGTGGTAGTACTACTCGGTACTTCAAATTCTTAAAATACACACACACAACAATCTTTAAATTGCCAACTGACATTCTGTCTTATCTTTGGCACAACATGTCCAGCACTGTTTCTTCTTACTAGTAGTGGGAATCTTCAACATGGTGGCATTTGATGATCTCATTGTAAAAATTGTATCTTGTTACCCACAAACCCAAAATGCATTTAAATCCTAAATTTAAACTTATGCTTGGGTAATTTTTTTTTTTTTTTTTTTTTTTTTTTGGGTTTTTTTTTTTTTTTTTTTTTTTGAGATGGAGTCTTGCTTTGTCACTCAGGCTGGAGTGCAGTGCTGTGATCTCAGCTCACTTCAACCTCCACCTTCCTGGTTCAAGCGATTCTCCCGCCTCCTGAGCAGCTGGGATTACAGGCATCTGCCCCCATGCCCAGCTAATTTTGTATTTTTGGTAGAGATGGGGTTTCACCATGTTGGCCAGGCTAGTCTCGAACTGCTGACCTCAGGGAAAAGTAACATAGAAAAGCACTAGACATCCTACTTCAACATTTATGCAAAAGGATATACTTCCTAGACTGTTTTAGTTACTATTAAAACATAAAGACAACAAGGAAAGCTAAAAATATCTAAACTACTATAGTCACTTACATACTTTGAGTTTATCAATAACTCATAATTTTTCCTCAAATAATCTTTAAAGGAATCATCTTACCTTCTCACACGCACAGATCATTCCTATTGGATGGGTCCAAAATGGCCAAAAATGGCAGATTTTGGGTGTTGACCTTCTAATCGATCAAGATGTGAACTGGTCTTTCACTTTTTAATGATTCTACTTATTAAATGATATTTGAAATGTAATCTATTAATACAGGTATAACAACATGGCATAAATTATTATTATTATTTTTGGCATAGTACCTCCACATCCCTGCTCCTGGCCACCTCAGCAAAATTTTCTTGTTGTTCAAGGGTCTTATCCACTTTATCATCAGTCATGCAGAAACATCTCAACCTGGCTTCGATGGGGTCATGTGACTTGGCAAACACTACAAATTTGGCCATATAAGGTACGCAGATAATTTCTCTATATACTTGTGATGCAAAAGTAACAGATTCCTGGATCTGTCGACAGTCTATCAGCCAGAACCTATTAAAAGAAATAAAGTCAGTTATCTAAAGTTCAAAGTATGCCGCTTGAAAAATAAAATCAGTTCCTTCAATATGATCAAAGTAGTCAACACATGCTTCTTGGAAAAAAGGAAGTGAGAGAGGGAGATAATGAGAGAAAGCCAAAGGAAAGAGAAAGCAAGACAGGAACAAAAATAAAGGTCAGAGGATAGATGGGAAGGCAGAAAGCAGTGAAGAGAAGAGAGAAAGATATCAGGTTCTCAAGACGAACTATTAAATATTGTATTTCTAATTTTCTTTTTTGGAAACTCTTCTGAATATTCAGTTTTCTGAACTCTATCTTTAGTGTTTTAGAATCCCTCAGTGGAGTGAGCTCAATAGCCGACATAAGACAAGTATCTCACTGCATGGATTTCAATTTTCCTCGATCCCCCTCCCTAGCCATCATTTAATTATCCTGAAACTCTTTTCAACAAAATCTACCTGGCTTTTCCTCCCCTGGTTATTCTTTTCCAAGGAACTCTCTAATCACCAAAGCAGAATCAACCCAACCATTTTTAAAAACCTGCTCCGGAACTCCTAAGTATTGCTGAATATAATTTGTAGAAGAAATTATTGGCTCTAATGACTTTATGATTTCCAGCCTTGGCTAAGTCTGTAACATTGGCAATTTTTTGTTCACTATAGTAACATTACTGAATCTTATGACACTCCTTGAGCTTCACCCCTCACAGCAGGCCCTAAGAGAGTTAACTTCACAGAGAAAGTAGACGTCATCATATGGAAACATTTTCATTTTGTTATTTTATACTTCCAAAGGTTTATTCCATATTCTCATGCTTTGAAACATTTCTCCCATGATTAATCTCCTTCCCCTGACTCATTTCCCATAATCTGAAATTATCATTACTGAATTTTTTATTTTGTTTTTAAATTTCTGCATCTTAAAGTCATGAAATTTTCTTATTCTCTGACCCTCTCTTTCTTTCAACTTCCTGACCCACCTCTCCTTTTATTCTTACTGTGCTAAAATATACATAATATAAAATTTACCATTTTAACTAATTTTAAGTGTACAATTCAGTAGCATTAAATACATTCACAGTATTGTGCAACCATCACCAGTAACCATTTCCAGAACTTCATCACCCCAAACAGAAACCGTACCCTTAAAAAATAACTCTCTATTTCCTCCTTACTTCAGCCCTTGTAAATCTCTATTAAACTTGCTTGTCTCTATAAAGTTGCCTATTCTAGGTAAATGGACATAATGTCTCTTGCCCTACAAGTCACGAAGTTGTTATAATACCAAGTTAAAGAGAGGGAAAAATGTTTGGCAATCAATTAAAGACCAAACAAATGAGAACTAACATTAATAAATTGAGTACGCATAAGAAATAAAACTAGATAGCTTCAGCATTTTAAAGATCTGTAATACATAAATAAGAAATATGTATAAGAGCCACTGAAGCCTCTAAGCCTTTTAGGCAAACCACGGTGAGATCTGTACTGTTATTCTGTTGGAAAAGTAGTTCAGGCTATTTTGCTGACAACAGGACATTATCATTCCTAAGGTCTTTGGAAGCAGAAAAATCAGCAGTGGCTGCTATGGACTAAGTCAGAATCATACAAGCAAAGCAGACAATCACTCAGTCCTCTTCCTTAGATTTTAATCAGATTGGTAGTACTTTGTTACTGTATTATCACTATTCCATTTGCTGACAAATCTAGCTTAATATATAAAAGCAAAAGCAGACCACATTTAAAATGAAACAAAAAAACCCAATTTTTAAACAATAAAGAAACAAAATTAAACAAAACAAAAGGCAGGGTTTTTCTGAGGGGTAAATATCATAGTGGGCTTTTCTGTGCTGTATAACGATACCTGGCAGACACGTTCGTTGTAAAGGAAACACATTCATTGACAAATGTTAATGGCGTAGTTCCTGTAATATCCTCCCATTGAGCAGGGGTGGTTCCACCTGAAATAATATGATTGTTGAAAAAAATCAGGCAAAACTCCAGACTCTAGATTCTAAAATAAAGTCTTTGTGGTTCTGTCTGTGTTCATCAGCCCACCCACCCCTGAGAATGCCACATTGGAAATGAAATGACTAAAAACCACGTGCTGAAAAATGACCCACTGAAAACAAACAGCAGACTACCTCTCAAACAACTAAGTTTTAGGGTAGTTATTTGAATAACTGTTTATTAAGCCTTCTGTTCTCTGCCTGATATTCTGTTGCTAGGCTCTGAAGATGATGTTGAATTGTATACAGTTGATTTTTTAAAATATCATTTGAGCAACTAAGGAGCCGAACGCTTCGTTAAAATAATGAACAATCTAAATATTATTTTGTTCCCAAACTGCATATTTTATGCAATTGCTTTCAAAAAAAATTCCTTTCAATGTGCAATGGAAGTTTGGCCAAAAAAATGTTTGTAAAATAGTAAGAGTTCAATAAATATTGCAAGGTAAATGAAAAAATACATGAATGTCAAAGGATGGCCCCTGTCACTGAAAAACTACCATGAAGGCTGACGGTGACTACCTCTCTTTAATTTCTACTGAGAAATTAAGGTGACATAGATATGGACAAAATTTTACTTCAAAGGGCTGTAGGAGGAATAGATGTTTGAAATGAATAAAAGTCTTGACTCTGAAGTTTCTTAAAGACGAGAACAAGTTATCAAAGAAAGGTTATGGAAGTTTATTCTAGTAGGCCTTTAAAATACACATTCAGCATAACTATACGACACAGAAAAATACAAAAACTCAAATGCCTAGGTATTTAAACAATTAATACATAAAATTCTTTGTTAACTTTCAAAATAATTTTATTAAATTTAAGAAATGTTTATGAGAAACTTGTCTAAAGACATTGGACTGGAATAAAGAGACTAGATGGTGTCTAGGCCCCTATAGTATCTTTATTTGATCATTTTAAGGGCAGGGTTTATCTTCAGTCTCACCTGTTTCATATCCATGACATTATATTGCACATTATAGCAGGTTAATCATACACCTATGGTGCAGAAATTATGGGAAAGATACTCAGAAATGATAGTAATACCAAAAATGAACAATTGGGAAAGAAATCATAAGCAAAGCATATGATTTCCCCCCTACTCGTTATAGTCCATATATTTTTAAATTTTGTCTTATTATTAAACTTGTGGAATAATCTCATGGTTCTATATCATAACTAAAGGAATCATATTAGTAAGAAGGGAGAATTAAAGAAAACAAAATGAAGGTGAACATTCTGCCAATATGAAAGAGAACTGAAAAAATAATTCTAACAATGCTGTTGTGGAAATTTGAGCTGAGAAAAACAGGGAGACAAAGAGACACAAGTGAATTCCTTTATTGGAGCTCCCCTCAATACCAAAACATCCAGGGACGATTACTGCCCCTTCTAATAATAGAACTAATATTTACTGAATGCCAACACCATGTAATTATTGATAGAGAAATTATCAGTTAAATTATTTAGCCCTAAAACAGATTATTCCTATGAATTTTTTTTCGCCTTTCACTATTTGTGGCGGCATTGTTTTAAAGAGACCACCAGCTTACTGGGAATGTCTTTAGAGAGTTTGGTAGCTGTCTGAAAGCTACTAAACAATCGCCAAAACTCAGTTAATCTTTGAAAATCTTTAAGTTGGTTTTCTAAAGTTAGTTCAATAGATCAATAATAAAGACATAACCAATTCCATGACATAACAGTTTGGTTTAAACTATTGGGTATAATTACTCAAGATACTATTATTATTTTTTCTTTTCCAGCAGATGTATTGATCTTTTCAATGAAGACATATGGGGGTGGTTTCGAATCCCAATACCACCAAATATTTATAGTGTAACTCAGATAAGTTATAGAACTTCTTTCAACCATGGTTTCCTTTTCAGCAAAATGGGGTTAAAGTTTCTTCACAGGGTTACTGTGGAAATTAGAATGACAATGCATATAAACTATCTAACACTTTCGCATACAGACTTTATTTAGTAAATAATAGTTGTCTCCTTTCACCTTTCAATTCCCTCATTAATTAAAATGCATTCCCTGAATTAATGCATGTGACCCTGCAGATACCTTATGACAAAGGTAATTTAATATTTACAATGATCTAAGTTTCTTTTTTCAGAACTCTCTACTAACATAGTCATATGTGACTCACCTGTTATGCTGCATAGTAATCTTAAGGTTGGTGCATCTCCCCCAAATCCATTCAACATGACATCACTTGAAGCTTTGGGGACAGGAATGGTCATGGTAATTGGTTTGTGGAATTTTCTTCTTCTAGGTTCCAAAGTGACTATGGGGCTGAAGGTAGCTTTGTTGCCTAGGATCTTCTTAACCAGCTCACTGTGCATAGGTTGAGCCTTTACAAAGTAAAAAAAAAAAAAAAAAAAAAAAATATATATATATATGTATATATTTTAAAATAAAGAATGAATCATTATATTTAATTTCAAATTTCTTACCCAAAGTATTGTTTTTTATCTTACAAATAAGTTCGGTGGACTTCAAATATGGTAATTATGAATTCAGTGCTATTACTAAGAACTCATAAGATCTAGGATCTCTGATGGTAGCTTTTGCTTACTAAGAATAATCTGATTCTTTAACAATTTATTTCTAATTTGAAAGGTAATTTCTTTTCTTTTTTTTTTTTTAACAAGAAGAAAACATTTATAGCTGGAGATTAATTTTGGTTAATTGTCCAAATATAAGTTGAATTTTTAAATAGATTAATAACCAATAAATAAGAATTTTGACTTTAGCTATGCTATTAATGATACCTCCCTTTCTGGTAGGATTGGAAAGGTAAGAGTCCTTGACAAAGCTAACTTTTAATCAGTAGAATACAGTCCTATCAGGATCATTTGCATCTAACATGGGCATACCTGCAGGCCGACGCGGATCCGCTTGGTGAGTGCCCCCTCTGGGAAGACGGCCTGCACCTGGGGCACCACTGTGCTGCTCAGCACACCTCCCTCTGGGCCAATCAGGTTGCTGTCCTGTTTGATACGCGACACCACTGCAAAGTACTGTGGGAAGTCTCGCGTGATGATGCGGCAGATTCGTTTCTTTTCTAGGTCTTCTGGGCTATCTAGTACTAAGACAAGAAATGACCCACCTTCATTCATATAGCAAAGATTTCCTATTGAAAGCATTCTAGCCAACTCATTGGCATGGTTAATAATAAACAGAAGTGCCAGCAACCTCCCCCTCAACCTTTTTTTGGAAACAACAGGAAAATTTAAAAAGCAAGGCTTTCCTAACAACACCAGGGAAAAAAAAATCTAATCTTTCAAGATCTGCCAGCATTTAGCTTGCATGTTTCATTTGTCTGTGAAAACCAGGACTTTCCAGGTCACTGAGAAAGATCATTTCGTTCTAGATGCAGCATTGCAGGGCCAGCTTTGAAATGAGGGGATGAGGGCAAATATGGCATGAAATGAATCTGTTCTATTCCTGGCTCATGTGATGAAAAGGAAGTTGTTTCTGGGCTCTTTTTCTTTACAAATTTCAAAGTTAGCTCAAAGCCAAGTTATTGTGGTTTCCAGAAGTAACATAACCCTTTGGGTTCTCAGGGGAATAGTGCAGGAATAAAATCTGTCTTGGAAGAGTAAGATTTATGTTTATCTGTTTACTCCAGTGTAAGGGGTGTGTCTGAGACGCTCACTGTGGATATTTTAAAAATCAGTGATTATTAATTCAGGGTTTTCAATATTCCCCTGACACCATTAACTTTCCAAATATATCATTTAACAGCAACAGAATGGGATCATGGGCTCTTTACATTGCATTAGTGTAGCTATTCAGGGCAATACAAAAAAATCAGACTAGTTTTAAACATTGAAAATTTGAAAAATGTGGATAACTGAATTTTAAGAGGTGGTGGAAAGGTGTTCATTTATGTAAATCATTTATGATTCATTATAGAGACAGGAACAGCAACTATGTTTTTCTTGACTACTGGGCATAGCCAGATAGTAAATGTAAGAAGTCCCAGGATCTGATCACATGTGACTGGAAACTGATGCACTGGCAAATATTAGCCTATGCTTATTTTTAAAATTTCCAGACATACACAATCTGATTATTTGTTTAATAATGAGCTTTTGACATAGGTATTAATAGAAAGTTAAAGAGTGGGTCCACATCCAAGGACAAGATACCAATGTTTACTGGCAGTGTTATTGATAGGTAAATATCTCAGAGAAAAATATCCTAGACCTAAGTGTCAGTAAAAAAAAAATGGTTCCAAGAGGTAGAAGCAGCTAAATATTTCAGGGAACAATTTTTATTAATAAAAACCCTGATCAGGCCGGGCGCGGTGGCTCAAGCCTGTAATCCCAGCACTTTGGGAGGCCGAGGCGGGTGGATCACGAGGTCAAGAGATCGAGACCATCCTGGTCAACACGGTGAAACCCCGTCTCTACTAAAAAACTACAAAAAATTAGCTGGGCATGGTGGCGCGTGCCTGTAATCCCAGCTACTCAGGAGGCTGAGGCAGGAGAATTGCCTGAACCCAGGAGGCGGAGGTTGCGGTGAGCCGAGATCGCGCCATTGCACTCCGGCCTGGGTAACAAGAGCGAAACTCCGTCTCAAAAAAAAAAAAAAAAAAAAAAACCCTGATCTTTTTACTTTGCTTAGAAGATATTGACTTATACATCTAGAGGGAATAATTTCTTCCTCCATCCACCCTTTCGATAAGATAAGCCTGGTCTCTATTCTTATTGAAACCTTGGTAAGATGCAGAAAGAAATGGTGAAGAAGCTATGGTTAAGCTACTCTTTCCTATTCATGAACCATACCTGAAACTAGTGCCAGAAGACTCAAGAACTTGATAAACAGCTATACTTGCTCTTGTCATGAATAGCTGTATACAAAACTTGGCATGTAGCTCTTGGCATGTAGGCAAAAAACTTCCCCTATTTGTGCAGTAACTTAAAGTTGAATCTGAATTCTATTAGGACTATTACTTTTTCTCTGTGCAAACTATGGAGACCTAAGGAGGAGCCACTTTCCTCTTGTTATACTGAGATATTACAACCTTGTCTGGCCCAAGACAGAGTTGAGATTTACAGAGATTAAAGTTTTAATGGAAAACTAAGTTCCTAAACTAGATGTGTATGTGTGCGTATGTATGCAATTCAACCCTGGCTAACTCCCTGTCTGAATTCTAGTTAGAAAATTGAATGAACTAGGCCGGGCATGGTGGCTCACGCCTGTAATCCAAGCACTTTGGAGGCCAAGGCGGGTGGATCACCTGAGGTCGGGAGTTCAAGACCAGCCTGACCAACATAGTGAAACCCCGTTTTAAAAAAAAAAAAAGAAAAAAGAAAAAAGAAAATTGAATAAACTTAATTTTCCAACCCCCTTAATAATAGAAAGTGAAAAAAATTATAGTATTCTATATTGTACTAGTTATGGGTATATGTAAGTTTTCCAACAGAATAGATTAACACTTTTTATCAGTACCTTAAATATCTAATGTTTCAAGTTAGTCATGTTTTTAAATCAAGGATTTATTGTCCAGTATCAGTTCATTCATTATGAAACAACAGTATGTACTCTATCTCATTTTCAGTTCAAAAAATTTACACTAAAAATGGAAGCATGCTGCATCTCTTTAATGAGATGTTTGCTATATTAAAGGCTTTTATTTTTCAGACTGTAACAGGAGTAAGATTAAGCAAAAGTATTGTGCATTCCAACTCATCACTACAGGAGCCAAGCAGTTTGCTGCTGTAGTCAAATACCACAAGACACACACACACACACACACACACACACACACACACACACACACACGCATCATAAGAAAGAAATGAATCATTTTCATGCTTCCAGTTTAGATTTCTTTTAAAACCCTTAATTTGAAAGTACCTTCATCCATGCCATTAAGAATTTCATTCAATTCATCTTCAGTGTAGTCACAGAAATGCTCTTTCCAGCTGTCCCCATTCTCACTGCGCAGAACCACCAGTTCCCTTTCCTTTCCGCGAAGGGCCGCAAAGTGAGGGATCTCCACGATCACAGGCCTGACACAGCAATGCAGAACATTCAGTGTGGACAGCAGCTAACCACCAGCAAGACAAGTACCTCGACTCTGTTACAAAGTGACCTGGAATTCTTCTTTTTCTGGGGATAGGGACATAGTGGGCCATTCTCTAGAGCCCACTGGCTAGCAGATGGTCACACAGTAGCACTCCACCTCAGGGGCACCAATCCTTAGGTACATGCTGCTACCTTAAACCAAATAATGTTTCCCTGTGAGTGCATGTGGCATTCTGGAACTTCTCCTTTGATAAATGTAAGTAGAACACATTTAACCAAAAGAAATGTACATGCATATCTATGATGTCTGCCAATCTCCTAAAACATTTTCGACAAGGTGCAAGATGACGAAATGGTTTAAGAGGACAATGGCTCACACATTGCATAATTTGATGTGCCATAAATGAGGAGATGTCAGAAAATCGACTACTTGTGAACTAAAGAGCCATGCACTCATGGTTTTTGGTTATATTTTCTTCATTCAAGGAAACAATAGGCATGTGTACACAGTGTGGTCCTAATTGAGCCCCTCAGCAGACAGCCCAATTGTGTCCAATGCCTATTACATTCAGGATCCGGAACATGCACCGCCCTATTATTTTTAGGTCACATTCGTTCTCAAAATATAGAGAGGGTTTTGATTTTTGGGTCCAGGTTGCTTTGATACAGACTCCAAATTCATCATAACAACATCATAACTAGCACATAGTACAACTAGGCAGATCTCATGCTTAAACAAAAATGAAGGTCACAGCACTTTAAGGGGAAAGATATAAAAACATCACTCAAAAATAAAAGTCACATACCACAAGGGTCAGAAATGGTCCACTAAAGATAGGTTATACAGAATTTAAATAATAGAGAGGGACATGTCATGGGCACAATGACAAAAAGAGAAATCATATTGCAGAAGAAGGAGAAGAATGGGGGGCCAGCAGCCATCAATTTGTTTTAAGTCGCTCCTACCCAAGGAATTTGGTTCCAGGAGGCCCCAGCTGAAGAATGCGGCTGACCAAACTTTCTCCCTCATTAAGTGGGGGAGGAGCCGTTGGCAGGTGAAGTTTACTGAGTACATCCAAAGCAGCAGTGAAAGAAAGAACATAGGTAAGCTTCAGGTATTGTTTTCCACAGAACCCCAGCGTCACCAGCTGATCCACAGGGTGAACTTTGGTTTCACACTGCGTTTGGTTCTGCCCCCTCCATTGGTCACAAAGAGCAAGGAACAGAGACCCAGAGTGTACAATGGAGGCGCGTCTGTGCAAGGAGAGCACTTAGCTGTCTGGTCTGTCCCTAATTAGGTTCACCGCCAGGGCACTAGTCAAAAAGGGGGAAAAAATGCTCCACAAGAAAGGCAAGCTATTGGGAATATGATGAAAACTCTGCCCTGTATGGAGGCCAGATGTTTTCATGAATATTCCCCAAACAGACCTGAAGATTATTGAAAAGCCTAAGCTATCTGAGCATGAGGGGAGAAGGGTCTGACACAGAATAGGAAAAGAATCATTGGGGAATTACTCCAACCATAATGGCATTTTCTGATGCAACCCAGAACTTCACAGGCTCCTTCTAAAGCTCTGGTCTGTCTGATTGGAGGACATGAGAGGTGGTTGCTATAATTGGGAAATATAAACACACCCCTTTTCGGGTGTGCATATAATTTGGAGCAATCTGCTAATAGCTTGGTCCAAATTACAAAGCTTTAGAACATTTCCTGCGTTCTAAAGCAAGAAATCCTCTTCCCAGTATGACATCAGCAAAGTAAAAGAGTTCATGATTATTAGGATTTTCTCCCAGTATTTCAAGCACCAAGACTTAAATACAATTGATTTGTTTCAAAATATTTTGAAACTTGTCCCCCTCCAAAATTGCATCCTTTTGTTAATTTCAGCTGTAGCTATTCATTTCCTGGCACGTTGAAATGCCACTTAATATTAACAGCAGCCGTACAAACAAACAGAAGAAAGAAGAAATGCTAAATTCTGTTCAAAATTGCCAAAATGAGCATGGTGGAAGTTAAGTCTTGATGTATTTGTCCTGATATAAACTGTGATTAAATAGACAACCAATGTAATGATAAGGCTCAATGTAGCAATTTTGATAGCAGGAAAAAAAATCACGTTGATTAAATCTGTAGGTATTCTGTAAAGGCAACATTGCTTTCCAAAGTAAAGATAATGATTCTGTTTCATAACTACATGAGGATTTACATTTATGTTTGGAACAGAGTAGAATTTTTTTCTTTGTGACTTTATCACTTAATTCTCAGATGAGGAAAAAAATACCTACCATTGGCTAAAATATGGTTATTCACATTGGGGATCTGGCAGCTATTATTACATCCAAAAAGAAGAGGTGGTATTCAACCTGAATGTTTAACTCATTAATGCCTTAAAGTAAGAGGCGTGTAAGTGGAGTCAAGCATTGAGGTGTTACTTCCAATTTTTAAAATGTAATTGGTGCCAATCCGTTTTCAAAATGGTTTGACGTACCTTTTTCCATTCCATCTTAGAGATTTCATGTGGAGGACACAAGCTCATCGGTGACTAAGTGGGAGGTTTATCAGAAACCCTTACCCAAGGAACTGAGCACCAGAAGGTCCAACTTCGATCAGGCGACTGGCCAGGCCTTCCCCTTCCACCATTGGAGGCATTGTTGCCAGTCTATGGCGTTTGACCAGTCGGCAGGTGACTCGTGTTGGAGCAGTACATTTCCGAGGTGGAATAATGATTCGGAGCCCATTGTGCCTGCATCCTCGCATAGCACCACCTCGGGCATCCACCATAAAACTAACCAGGAAACTGAAAATTAAAATAGAAGATTAGATATGTTTTGAAATATTGGGAGGAGATGAACAAGCTTTGTTAAGCTGTTTTTTTATAATGCTTTGTTCTCAAAATCTCTCTTTTTTTAATTTAAATGCACAGTGGCAAAATGTTTGCTTTTAAAAGTTATTTTACTTTATACCAATGCCTTTAATTCTGTTTCGTTGTTGTTTTAATTTTTATATTATTTTAATCTGTAAAGAAGAATTCTAATTTTTGCTGACAATATAAACTGTAAATTAAAAATAAGTCTAATTAATTTTAAAAGAAAATGGAATGAAATTACATAAAGAACAATTGACAAGTTTCCTTTTGTTATAAATGCAAAGATTTCTGCTTCCTTACATGTATGTCCTAAAATATCTACATGTTGAAATAATACAAGGATAGAGCGGAAAGACCAAATCGCAGTTTTTCTGCATCCTGTTCCAAAATCATCTTACCCAGGATGTAGATTTTAACTGATTATATCCTAAAGGAGGAGAAAAGCAAAATAATTAAAGGTTTTGAACTGAACCAATTTGCTGGTTAAAATGCACTTTTTTACTTACTAAGTAGGAATCTCTCTGCCATACCATTCTAATTGAAACAAAGAGCAGATGGACAGGGAACAACTAGAGCCCTCCATACACCATTTTTGAAGTGAAATTTCAGGAGTGAGAAACCCTGGGCTCATGCTGATGGAGGATATCTGTATCATCTGTATCATGATTTTCTTCAAATTATAACCAATTGAATGTAAAAAAATCACAGCTAATAATTTAGAAATGTCAACAACATCCTCATTATTTTTTTCTCCTTCTCTGCTAGGCTAATGGTTAATGAAAAAGGAGAACTATAATCTGAGGTGACTTGGTTTGTTCATTTTAAGTGTACCAAGAGAAACGGTTTGTCTTAACTTCGAAGTTGTTTCCTTTGGGATGGTCTTAGCAGATCCTGATCCAGGTTAATTTGAATGTTTGTCATTTGGTTAGTATTAACTCTCAGTAAAGTTTCCCAGGCACTTACTGTGTCAAGGAGCAAAAATTGAACAACACGGCAATCTAAGCGTTGTGTACACATATACAAAGACCTACAAACTGTGTGTACGCTCTTTCACAAATCACGTTAGTGTCTTTTCCAATTTCCATTGCATTTGCAAGATCTTTACACCAAAATGGGAAGAGGAAAGCAACATATAGGTGTATCATGGCTCTGCTTATAATTTGATCAGCACAGAACCAGCTGGATTTGTCACACCTAGATATTGCCTCCATGACAACATTAAAAACATTTGAAGGGTATTTTATCAAAGCAAGTTATAGGGATATAAACACAAAACATGTTATTTTTAGATAAATGAAGAAAAATATCTTAGCTTCTTCTTCAAAGCAGAACACAGAACTCATTAAACATGCTATTAAACAAAAATCCTGTTGCTAGTAATAAAAATGGGTGCGAAGGAGCCCAGAGTGCCTGTCTGAAGCACATCATGCAGGATGAGACCACAAGAGGCAGCACAGTCCTTCCCACATGCAGGGGCCAGGCTAGACCTGCCATTCATACCAAGCCCATTTATGTTTTCAGGAAGGAGTAAAAACTGGCAAGTACAATCAACTGTTCAGTACCAAAGAGTTAATGTTTCTAATCTTTACCAAAACATAACGAGAAAGTATTTGCCACTTTTCTTATTACTAGTCTTCAAGTATGAATTCTTTAAAATTTTCTTTTTTATTTGACTTTTACATGAACTATTTGTTGCTCAAAAGAATGAAAACACTGGTAACACTTCTAGATGGATATAAAGTTTTCCTTTCCATTTTATTGTTTTTATTTGAGTAGGATACTTAGGTTTATTATTGTAAAAAAGGTAGCAAAAAGTGACAAGTTTCAACTAGTGCTGCTTCCAAAATCAGTAATATTTTTGACTCACTGATAATTAAGATTAATATTTCCTTTTTTTTTCTTCTTTTTTTGGTTACTGCCTCCATTGGTGCACAGACAGGAACTCAAACTAGTAAGGAATTATTATATCTGCTTAATGTTACCAATACTCAGTACTGTTTATATCCTTGAAGGCATTTAAGAAGTTTCCACACTCATGTTGTAAGCTATAACCTCTCCACTACATTTATTGCAGTGGTAGCTTATGGCCTATATAACATGGAGCCTCCACAGAAGAAGTAGAGTATCTTCTGGTGGCCCATTCTCTAAGGAGTGCACTGAAGTAGCTAAGTTCTTGTTTAAGCAACTACAGGTTAGATTACTTGCCCTGATTGTGTCACTGACTGTTTCTCTTGAAACTCTCTTTCTGTTCTCACTTGCTCTATATTTCTATTTCTATGCTCCTTTTCATGCAACATTTGTTGCCCTCCTATTAAGTGTCAAGTGCCCTGCTAGGAACTGAGGATACAGAAAGTAAAGACACAGCAGCTGCTGCCAAAAAGTCCACAGTCTAAGCCCCAGACTTCACATGATGGTTTCATCATTGCTCGGCCTGGTCACTGAGAAACGGCTAAGTCCACACATAGGAGCCATAAACGTGCCATAATGACAGTGAGCATTTTCTCCACATTTATTTCTGTGTCCTCTAGAGCTATCCATATTAATTCCTGTGTCCTCTAGAGCCCAGCACAGTGTGGGTGGAGCACTTAGTAGGTAGTCAATAAACAACTGTTGAATAAGCGAATATATGGCAGAGTGAAAAGGGCAAGATGTGAGGAGCTGTATATATTTGTGTCTAGCGGTAATGTAGGAGAAAATTTAATTCTTTAGTCTCTGGACAATCAGAGCAGTCAGAAGTCATTCAAATCACTGTATTCAGATGTAGGAAAGCAGTTGGGAATGACCATTCTTAACGTTAAATATTCTTCTACAGTCTTATTCCTGCTCTAACGTAAATGAAGAGACCTAATAAATTTATTTCCTTTGATAGAGAATTAGTAGAAAATGAGAGTAAACAAAAACCAGAAGTCTGAATTTAACAAAATAAACAATCTTAATAGAAGTGAAGATTATATGAAGAAAGACCAAAGATAGGAAAATCAAAATAAAAGCACTTAAAGCCTGAAGCTGCAAGCAGATAAATTTACCTAAAAGTATCTCTGTGTCATGGTAGATCTGGAAAGTAATATTTAAGTATTCCACAGAAATCCAAAGCAAACTGAAAAAATTAAGGTCCCAATATGCATAATTCAGGGAAAAAAAATGTTTTTTTCCTTAAGATAGGGTCTCGCTCTATTACCCGGGCTGGAGTTTAATGGTGCTATCATAGCACCCTATAACCTCAACCTTCTGGGCTCAAGCAATCCTCCCATGTCAGCCTCCTGAGTAGCTGGAATACAGGCAGCATCACCACACCTGGCTGATTTTTTTTTTTTTTTTTTTCCAGAGATGAGGTCTCCCTATGTTGCTCAGGCTGGTTTTGAACTCCTGGGCTCAAGCAATCCTCCTACCTTGGACTTCCAAAGTGCTGGGATTACAGGTATGAGCCACCATACCTGGCCTAAATTAAATTTTTAAAGAAAACAAGACTTTGTGGTTTTATCATGTAACTAAAGGAAGAGACACAAACAAACAAACAAACAAAACCCCACCAAGCTGTAGTGAGGAAATTTTCTTTAGAAGAGAAAAAGAGAGAGAAGAGAAGTAAAACAGAAAGATGTCAAGAAAGAAACAAAAATATTGGAAGATATTTAAAAAAGCTAAATATTAATAGTCAAAATGAGTAAAAATGTTTATAAATCTAGCAAGAAAATAAACAAATTGGACTCAAATAATATAATTGCCAAATAACTGATAAAAATGCTGAATTTACAGAATTGCATAATAAAAGAAGTCTTTTATTTAAGAAAGAATAGGAAAAATAACTCAAGTTTATAGCTAGGTGCTTATGAAAAATCTATTGACAATAGTCGGTATGCTCATATGTTAATCCAATAGCTGATAATATAAAATTGGGTAAGCATTTGAGCATTTTCATTAAAAATATCAGAATATCCAAAAGTGTCACTATTTGGACAGGTAGTAGAGTTAGGAGACAGGTATTCTACCATGTAGCAAACGGCTGCAAATAAGCAAAAAACAAATTGCAAGCAAATGTACTTTTATATACCACAGGAAAGTGTGAAAGGTTAGAAGGTATGAGTCATGCAGTGAGCCGTTCACAAACTAGAGTTGGCTGAATCAATATGATTTTTCTCCTGTTTGCAGGTGATTAAAAATGGGACAAGATAATCCTCATAAACATCTAAAGATAAAGATAATTAAAGTAAAAACACATAATTAACTATGTTTAGAGGAGGTGGTAATATGGATTGATGACTCTGCCTGTCATCTATGAGCTTTAAGATTGAAGCCTCACCTGCCAATGAAAAATAACACTGTTACCACTTACAGTTATGGTGAGAATTAAATCTTTTATGGGTAAAGGATACAGAATTGAATAAATGATTGTTCCCATCATTTTCCTCTCTCTACACTCAAAGGATTTTACGTATTTTAAATATCCTAAAAATAATATAATACACCACTTGAAAAATAAATGAAGACACTAACTTTTATTGAGTACCTAGAGTGAACCTGGAGCTATGCTAAGTCGTTTAATATGATGATGAAGTTTGTATTAGTTTATCTAATTTACTGCTTAAATAAAATATAAAACATACTGTTATCACAAAGCACAGGAAAATGCAGCAAGTACCACGCTCTTCCATGGATCTAGATAAATCTCTGTCTTGAATTAATGTTGTAACCTCAGGTAAGTCACTTAATATCTTTAGGCTTCAGTTTTCTTATCCATAAAATGGGAGACTTCTACTAAATAGACTCTAAGTTGCCTTCCAGTATTAAAATTCTATGCACAGTTTACTGTTAAGTAGGTTAGGAAAACTACTTAAATATTTCAGATGCTCTGAAAAAACTCCTAATTGGAAAATAAACTGCTATTACTTCAAGAAATATATATTATTTTTGCTTTATGGTTAAAACAGCTGTTC